CCAGAGCAACAAGTTTTATTGGCCTAATGCACTGAAATAATATTGAATATGACCAAAATGAAAAACAATAATCAGCCATGATTGTTAAATTTGCAACAAACAAATATATCTGGAAAGACTTTAGGCGGTTGAAAATTCAATTGCCAGATAATATTTGAAATGACGTTTCAAAAGTTCAATTGTTCAAGCAAAACCTGTATTTTATTGACAGTGAAGTGTTTTTGAAAAAAGCCTGTCAAAATCATAAAATTGGAAATTTTGATAAGATATTAATTTTATTTGTTGGAAATTGTCTATAGAATAAATCCTGTAAATTTCAATAAGAATAGTTCTATTGCAAATATGGAGTAAAAATACAACTGCATCATTCAACCTGTCCGGGGTACTATGAACTTATATGTTCATATTATTGAGATACATCACTGTCATGATTTCTGGATCTATAAAATGATATATCACTAATGTAATGAGATTTTTTCATTGGATTCCATTATGTACACAACAATGAATTTGGAGAGGGGTAAAAGGATTAATATCACAAATCAATTCTAAATACCCTGCAGAATACCTAATAAAAAGGTGAAGTTTACAGATCATCTTAGGCATGAAAAAAATAGTTTGCGCAAATAATCTACTCACTGACTATTTTTCATACTGACCCCCACTCTCTGTTGAAACAGGGATGGGATTATTATGAAATTTTCTCTCCATATCTATTAGACATATCACTGTCATAATTTATGGATCTATCAAATGATAATCTAGCAATGTTGTTGAATTTTGTATTGCGTTCAATGCACTATAGATTAAAAAGTTATGAGAGAAAACTCATGAAATTGTTAACATTGAATTGTAGGGAGGGGGAAGTAAAAGGCTGAAAATAAAAAAATCAATTCAAAATATCTGACAAAATGTCTAAAAAATAGGGAACTTTATATTAATTGATCATCTTGGGGTATGGTAAAAAGAGTTTGCACAAATAATGGACCTACTAAGTATATTTTTCATATTGACCCCCTATACCCTGTTGAAGAAGGGGTGGGGTTCTTTGTGATTTTTTTCTGTACATCAATTGGGCACATCGCTGTCATACTTTCTGGATCTATCATATGGAACTTAAGCAATGTTGTGGATTTTTCCATTGGCATCAATGAGATGCAAAAAATCTGTAAGTGAATTTTGCTTAAAAAGATCGCACAAATAATATGCTCACTAAATATTTTCCCCACCCTTCTGTTGAAGAAGGGATGGTGCTGTTAGGATTTTTTCTTTGTATCAATGTACTTTCTAATAATATAATACTTTCTGGATGCATCAAATGATTTTTGAGCAATGTTGTGCAATCTTTTCATAGGTGTCCATAGACTGCAAAAAAGTTATGAGAGAATACTTTGGAAATAAGGTGTACTCAGCATTGAATTGGGGGGTAGTTAAAGGCTAAAAATCAAAAATTAATTGTTTGATAAAATGTTAAACATTTAATGTTTAATAAAAGTGAATTTTCATCCAATTAACCATCTTAGGCATGATAAAAAAGAGTTTGCACAAATAATGTACTCACAAAATACTTTTTCATAATGACCCCCCCCCCCCCCCACAGCCTTACCACCTGTTGAAGAAGGGGTTGGGTTCTTGTGATTTTTTTCTCAATATTGATCAGACAAATCACTGTCTTACTTTCTGGATCGATCAAATGATACTCAAGCAATGTTGTTGATTTATTTTCATTCGTATCAATTCGATTAAAAAAATATGAGTGAATATTCTTGATAATAGGTACACTCAACACTGAATTGGGGTTAGTAAAAAGCTTAAGATCACAAGTAAATTCCAAATGTCTTTCAAAATGTCTAATAAATAGCAAACTGTATATTAATTGACCATTTTAAGGTGCTATGGAAGTTAACAGGAAATGACAAAAAAATTGCATTTTTAGACATTTTTTGAACAAAGATAACAGAGTTCTGTTTTGACCTCCAGTCAGTTCAACTAGTTTCAAATACCATTTACAGGTCCAGGATCACAATGTTCATGGTCAGAATGACCCTAAACATGATGAAATAACCTTTTCAGCCCTCTGAAAATGTGACTGAAAAATAGGTAAAAGAAGGAGGTAGGAAAGGTCACTGAACAGAATCTTTCGAAATTTTTCAGAAAATGTGCCCAATATATTGCTCTAAATGATACAATCTTTGAAAATTTAATATCATTCATAGAAAAAGAAAAAAAATGAAAAAACTGATTTGAAAGCGATCTATTTTCCTTTTTATGACCGCCATTTTTGTTTAAGACAATTTTCTATAATTTCAAAGATTGTATCAGTTAGAGCATTATATTAGGCACATTTTCTGAAAAATTCAAAAGATTCTGATCAGTGACCTTCCCTAGCTCCTACTTTTAGCCTTTTTTCAGTCACACTTTCAAAGGGCTAAAAAGGTTATTTCATCATGTTTAGGGTCATTCTGACCATGCACATTGTGATCCTGGTCATGTAAATGATATGTGGTAATAGTTAAATTGACTGGAGGTCAAACCAGAACTCTGTTATCTTTGTTCAAAAAATGTCTAAAAGTACAAAAAAATTCACTTCCTGTTTTGTCATTTCCTGTTAACTTCCATAGCACCTTAAGCATGATAAAAAAGAGTTTGCAAATAATAATATAATCACTAAATAATTTTTCATGTTGACCCCTACCCTCTGTTGAAGAAGGGGTGAGGCTGTTATGATTTTTTCCTCAACATAAATAGGACACATGACTGTCATACTTTCTGGATCTATGGAATGAATTTAGAACAATGATATGGAATTGTTTAATAGTCTTTGATATACTACTGTAAAAGTTATGAGAGAATCCTCTTGAAATGAGGTATACTCAAAATTAAATTGGGGGTAGTAAAAGGCTTAAAATAACAAATTAATTTAAACAGGCAATGCGCCTATTTTTGAAGGAAAAAGGACAAAATATTATTTGAGACATGTTACTCACACACTCTATCAAATATGATAAAAACTTTAATTTGGGTCAATACTGAAGTGATAAAAAAAAATTACTCGCGTAGAAAACAGCATTTGAAGTTCAGAGATCAAAAGAAGTGAATTACCACTTTTCACAAAGTGTATGTTTTTAAATAACTCTTGGATTAAAAGATTGCGTATGGTTGAAAATCCTATCAAAAATGAATGGATAATTTATGCAAACAACAATGCCATCTTTCAATGGCATTGCTAAAAACTTGACATATATAAATTGATAGATCGAAAATATTTGTTCATGATCTAGTGTCAACTCTGATGTGGTCTGTTTGAGCTGTTTTTGGTGTCAAATGAAATATCAGGTACTTATTAATCCATTGGGAATACTATGAAGAACAAAAGTGAGACTTCATTTCCGCTTTTAGTTCCTTTGAAATACCCTGCAAAATGTCCAATAAACACTGAACTTTATATCAATTGACGATCCTAGTCAGGATAAAAATGAATTTGAACAAATGATATGCTAACAAAATATTCTTTTCATATTGACCATTCTGGCTCTATCAAATGGTACTTTGGCAAAGTTGTAGATTTTTTTCATAGGCATTAATGTGCTAAAACAAAAGTTATGAGGAATATTCTTGAAAACAGATATACTCAAAATTGAATTGGGGGTAGTAAAATGCTTAAAATCAAAAATAAATCCAAAATACCCAGCAAAATGCCTAATTAATGGTAAACTTAATATTAATTGACCATCTTAGGCAGGATAAAATAGAATTTGAACAAATAATGTACTCACAATCTTTTTTTCATATTGACCCCCTCCCACTGTTGAAGAAGGGGTGGGTTTGTTGGGATTTTTCTCTCAACATTAAATGGACACATCACTGTCATACTTTCTAGCTCTATCGAATGGTACTTGAGCAAAGTTGTGGATTTTTTGATTGGCATTAATCTTCTAAAACAAAAGTTATGAGGGAATATTCTTGAAAATAGATATACTCAAAATTGAATTGGGGGTAGTAAAATGCTTAAAATCACAAATAAATCTAAACTATCCTGCAAAATGTCTAATAAATAGTGAACTTATATTAACTAACCATTTTGGGTTTAGTTATTAGGAACTCAGGTTATATATAGTGCCCATAAAAAATAGTTCATTTTGGGCCCCCAAATAATTTGGGGGTGGGGGTCTACCCTAATTTTCTCTTGTAAAACCCACCCTTCAACTTGCTCGAGCGGATAAAATTGATTGCAATATAGAGTTGTTTCACCATACAAAGATTCACGATTTCTTCATCGTTTCGAACAAAATGATACTTTTGGACGACGAGGATCTTGTACTATAGGTTATAAGGTTTATCTGGTGCATTTCTATTTTAGTTGGTTTAAGGTGGTGAGACAAAATGAAAGTAAAACTTTTTAACACAAGTGTGCAGAATCAAATGTCTCTGTTGATCAATAATGGTTGGACTCTTCTGCTTTCTATGTCAATGCTCACCATTCTGATATATACTTTTACTCCCAAGTGAATTCATTGATTGTATTAGCAATTAATGAATTTAAATGCCAGAACTTGATTGTCATAACTATCACAAACAATTATCAAGCAGGAGTTAAATAGCATGATAACATGTTGTTTGATTCCATCAGTGCATAGGTGGTAGTTTTTCAATGATCAGTCAATACTTGTAATAAAATCCACTCGTCTATATTGACAATCCCACACTTTGGATATAATCTGCCACTAACACTTGCCCATAAATGTAGCTTCCAGAGCCATTACAATATAAAGTTAGCTGAAAATGCCATTTTCTCTGAATATGAGCTTGTACAAACAAGTTATAAGCCAAGTAATTTTCAATGTCTGTTTGGGTGATGTGTGTACATTTTCCTGTTTCATCATCTTTATGGCCATGTTCAATATGATTACAGAAATGCACGATGTTATGAACAAGGTGTAAGCCAGGCTACTTCCAACAAGTATTTGAATGCAGTGTATAACTGGATGTCTCCTGAAGTCATGAGAGGCGATTTCCCAACTGTGGAGTCCGATCTTTATAGTCTGTGTGCTGTAATATGGGAGATGTTTGAAGGTAAATAATTGTAAAACCATTGACTGAAAAATGAAACCAAAAAGGTATTAAACAATAAACAATGTCAAATGCTTCCCCTTCCCCAATTTTGAATTGCCATATTCATTACTATAAGCTATTTCTAGATTATATTTTTCTTTTCACTTAGAATTTTACAATGCTATCTTTTATTCTTTTGTGATGCCAGAAAGATGACCATACTTTCCTTATACATAAGCTGCAATCTGAACTATGTATACAATGAAAAGCTAAAAGATATAACTCGACAAAAACAAAGAAAAACATAGGACTCATCCAATAATAACTCTATTCAAAAGGAAAAGACTCACCCTTCCATGAACAATTCCTTTTTTCTCTTTTTATCAGTTCACCTTATTGAATGTTGAAAGAGCCTTGTATGAACTATTCTTTTTTCTCTTTTTATCAGCTAATATTATTGAATGTTGATTCAGGTGATGTGCCATTCAGCCTCATCAGTGTGGAAGACATCAGGACCAGAGTGCTGCAGAATGAAACAATGCTAACAATTGATGAGGTATGTATTATCATACTTCATTTTTCACATCCAGTTTGCGTTAAAGCCTTTATAGAGACAGCTAGTGTTGTGCTTTCCATTCTTGCCTGCATTTATTTTTACAACCACCCGTATTGTATCATAATGGATTCATAGTAGTTAACTTTTCATTTTTTGAATCAATATTACAAATATTTGCTGGATGAATCCCAAATCCCAGTCAAATGAGATTTTGAAATTTAACATAAAAATTAAAACTACACTGCTTAAAGTAGTAAAAGTAGTAAAAAAGTTTCATGTTCATTACCAATCGGATTATTTAAAAGCCATGTGATATTTTTTCTTAAATTGCATTGGTTGTAGTCAATGTATTCATATAGTGTCCATGTTACAAATATTTTGTCAACATGCTTTTAGATAAAAATTCCGCAACCATTCCTCACCATATTGCAGTATGGACTTCAACACAATATACATTCTAGAAGTAAAATGAGTCTGGTAGAAATGAGAGATCTAATTCTGCATTCAAACGTAAGTACAGAATACAAGCATATTGAATACTGGTAAGTGACTTATGACCTTTTTGTCAGTTCAGTTTTTAATTTGCAGCTGGATTGTATATCATGAAATTGTATCGTCTTGTCTGGAATATCATAAAGTATACAAAGTGAACAATTGCTTAAGTGAGGCCCCCACATGATTATGATGCTGTCACTGAGCTTTTAATCAGAGAACTCCTTTCACTTTAATGTGATCTAAAATCTTATTTTAAAAGTTTAACCATTGTCATTATCCCATTGAATGATGTTTGGAGGGATATAGAGAACGGCTCAGTCCATTTGTATGTCTGTCTCTCCAGGCAATAACTCATATACTGTTAGCCAATATCATTTATGTTTTATACATACAACCCCCATGTAAGTACAAGTTCTGCTGGAAAGCCAATTTTCAAAATGTTTGCCATTCTAGTGTCAATTTTACAGTATTTTAGGTACAACATATAAAACTGTAATATTAATATATTAAATGGTGGCCATTTTTATATGTGTTATTTTATGTTTTTGCTATAACTGAAAAAGTATTGGAGGGATTTTGTTGAAATTTCATATATCAATACTTAGAAGAAGAATATATTGTAAATTACAATTTGGCTAAAATGGCAGGGCTGGCTGATGGAATTTTCTATGCCTTGGCATTGCTGTCTAGTTTGAATTCATTTTTCTTAATAATTGCCCAAATCAGAGAAGGGGATGTTCAACATATATTAATCTTTGAATGGCCTAATAGCCCTTATCGTAGAATTTCCAATATTGTGTTTTCAAATTGTGTTTGTCTCAGATGGTGAATTTATATAACCCCTCACTCATTTGTCTGTCCATCTTTTAGTTTATCCTTCCCTCCATCAATCTGTCTGTCTGTCAATCTTTTTTTTACAAACTGCTAACTGGTGCTCATATGGTGGTCCAAGCTGGTAAGTAATATTTGTTCTGGCTCCTACATTTACCTCATCTTGGAGAACCTTTTGTCATCAAAATATGACATTTGACCTATTTTTAAAATGCCCTCCAAAATATGATGATTAGCAAGTTTTTTAAATATTCATTTCTTATCATCAAAATTAAAAATGTTTTGAAATGCCCTCCAAAATATGATGAAAAATGATGAGCATTTTTTCACTATTTGAGCCAACAAAACAGACAAGTTTTATAATGTTACCCAACTCACTCATTTGTGATCATCAAAATTTAAAACTATAGGAAACATCAATAAAGACTACTGGTAGTCCTGCAAAGAAATATCAGCAATCAAAGAAACCAGAGTTTGAAAGTGAAAGCAGTGATGGTTCACATTATGAAGGTATGTTCCAATATGTCTTAAAACATAACTTGATTATGCAATTAAGTTTTCAAGCATTTTAAAGAGATATTATCCATGAATCTGAGTGTTATATATATGTATATGTGTTTATTTAGTTAATTGTTATTGTTTATTGTACTGAGTCATATGTTAGTCTTAATGCGTGTATATTATGAATGAGTAGAACTCCTCCCTAAATATTCCAGATCGTTTCAAGTCGATGGAACCATCTCAAGAATTCAAATATCAACAAGGGGTCAGAACTCAACAATTTGAGGTCAAAGGTCAGCAGAGAGCCAGGAGTCAACAACAAGAGTTCAGAGGTCAAGGAAGGAACAGAGATGAAGTTGATGTAAATGAAGGAACATATCTTACAAACACAGGAATGAAACGGTAAACCCATATTTTTAAAATCAACAAGATTGTGAAATATTTTTTCAAGTTTATAACAATTTAAAATCACAATGAAAATATCTCATAATATCGTGTTTTATAAGTACCACTGCTTTTTTGACAGACTGATTTTTAAAAGAGCTCAAACAGATTTGACTGAGCTCTTTGGCAAAATTGGCATTGCAAATAGAATCTGTGATCTCCCAAGCATTAAACAAGTGGGTGCACCACCCACCTGAGATCTTAAAAACAGGCTTGCACACACAATCAATTTGCACCCACTTGAAAAAATAAATGTATTCGTGTTTCCTTCCGATTAAATTTACCATATTTTATAAGATGTTTATTTGTAATGTTATAAGAATACATTCATGAGAAAAAATATAAAACTAGATTGGAGAAATTGAACAAGTTCAATTCAAGACTCCAGATTTAGATTGTTTATCTCAAAACCATTTTGAGATCTGATATTAATGAAAGGGTTGAGATTGTTACAATTTTGTGGCAGCGGTGGGATTTTTTTTGAGAAGCCCATAACTTCTAAACCGGAAGTCGGATCTCAATTTTGTTTTCAGATTCGGAATCCTGAGAAAATTGTCTATTAAAACCTTAATTTTAACTTTGATATTAATGAGAAATGAGAAAATTAACGGTCAGGTAGACATGCCATCAGGGTACCATCATATCATTTTTTTGAAATTTCAAAATGTGTTAACTCCTGAACCGGAAGTCGGATCACAATTTCGTTTTCAGATTCGGAATCCTGAGAAAATTTCCTATAAGACTAATATCCTGAACATTTGATTTGGAGAACTTTTTTTTGGACCTCGTTTTCGGACACTGATATCTCGAAATCGGTTTGAGATATCAAAAAACTAAATCGACCCTAGCTTTCCTACTTTTTTATAAGGAACACAATGATAAAAACCCGGATCGAAAATATTGAAGGACGACCGAGAAAATCGAAAAAAGTGACAAAGTACTGGATTTGACCTAGTTCTTGACCTTTGACCTAGATAAAAATTTGACCTAATTTCCCAGAAACTAGGTCACATACCCTAACTGACCATGTAATTAGATTTACTCCAAGTCTTCTAGTTACTGAGAAAACGTGCTAATAAGAATAACTAGATTTTGGAAATTGAACGAGTTCAATTTCAGACTCCAGATCTAGACTTTTTTTAGCCGAGTCATCCAGAATAAATCAAGTCATCCAAAATAATCTAAGTCATTAAGAAAAAGAAGGATGGATGGATGGATAAAAAAGGAAGGATAGGATAGAATAGGAAGGAACGATAGGATAGAAAAGGAAAGAAGGATAGAATAGAATAGGAAGAAGGGATAGAATAGGAAGGAGAGGATACGAAGCAAGGGTAGATAGGAAGGATAGGATAGGATCAGAAAGGAAGGATGGATGTATTTTCAATATTTTCTTCTCTATTCTTGACTTTCTATCAGGATACCATCAGATCGATTTTTCTTGAAATTTCAAAACGCCATAACTTCCGAACCGGAAGTCGGATCGAAATTTGATTTGCAGATTCGGATTCCTGACAAAATTCTACCTCTAATTCATAACTCAAACATTAAATTTGGCGAATTTTTATTTTGACCCACTTTTCGGACACGCCATAACTTCGGAACCGGAAGTCGGATTGAAATTTAGTTTGCAGATTCGGATTTCTGAGAAAATTTTATTCTTAATTCATAACTCAAACGTTAAATTTGGAGAACTTTTTATTTTGACCTACTTTTTGGATACCATATCTCAAAAGTGGGTCAAAATACCTTCTGACGGCAAAAGGCTAACGCTATTAGCACACTCTTGGCTACATGTATACACAATTTTGAGGAATATAATTAAAGTGTAGTGTCAGAATCGCAAAATAAGGATGAACTATGAATTTGACCTAGATTTTGACCTAGGGATTTTGGTGTCCAAATTTTGAAGTTAGGTAGCCTTCGAGGTTCCGTTCTTTCATAGGCTTTCATTATTTTAAGCTGTACTTAGTCTATATCTCGTATTTTACACTTCAAAAAAAATCTTTTTTCCCATTGACATAACATGGGGCACCAAATTTAGCGATTTTTGAGCTTTCAAAATGACATTACTTCCGAACCGGAAGTCGGATCGAAATTTGGTTTGCAGATTCGGATTCCTGGGAAAATTCTATACTTAGTTCATAACTCACACGTTAAATTTGGAGAATTTTTTATTTTGACCTACTTTTCGGACACCATATCTCAAAAGTGGGGCAGAATACTTTCTGACGGCAAAAGGCTCACACTATTAGCATACTCTTGGCTACATGTATACAAAATTTCGAAGAATATAATTAATCTGTAGTGTCAGAATCGCAAAAATAAGGAAAAACTTTGAATTTGACCTAGATTTTGACCTAGGCATTTTGGTGTCCAAATTTTAAAGCTAGATGGCTTTTGAGGTCCCATTCTTTTAAAAGCTTCCATTATATTTAGCTGAACTCAGTCTATATTTCGTATTTTTCACTTCAATAAAATCTTTTTTCCCATTGACTTAACATGGGCTCCAAATTTAGCGATTTTTGAGCTTTCAAAACGCCATAACTTCAGAACCGGAAGTCTGATCCAAATTTCGTTTTCAGATTCGGAATCCTGAGAAAATTTCCTATAAGACTAATATCCTGGACATTTAATTCGGAGAACTTTTTTTTGGACCTCGTTTTCGGACACTGATATCTCGAAATCGGTTTGAGATATCAAAAAACTAAATCGACCCTAGATTTTCTACTTTTTTATAAGGAACTCAATGAAAAAAAACCAGATCGAAAATATTGAAGGACGACTGAGAAAATCGCAAAAAGTGACAAAGTACTGGATTTGACCTAGTTCTCGACCTTTGACCTAGATAAAAATTTGACCCAATTTCCGAGGAACTAGATTCTGAACCTAAATTGACCAAATGATTGTCTTAACTGAAGATTTTACAGTTATTGAGAAAACTTGCTTAGAATAATAATAATAAGAAGAAAAAGAATAATAAGAAAACTGACGAAAACAATAGACTCCAGATTTCATCTGGAGTCTAATAAGAATAACTAGACTTTGGAAATTGAACGAAGTTCAATTTCAGACTCCAGATCTAGACTTTTTTAAGCCCAGTCATCTAAAATAAGCCCAGTCATCTAAAATAAGCCGAGTCATCCAGAATAAGCTGAGTCATCCAGAATAAGATAGATGGATAAAATAGGAAGGTAGGATAGGATAGAATGGGAAGGAACGATAGGATAGAATAAGAAAGAAGGATAGGATAGAACAGAATAGGAAGAAAGGATATGATAGGAGAGGATAGGAAGGATAGGAAGGAAAGGATATGAAGGAAGGATAGATAGGAAGGATAGGATAGGATCAGATAGGAAGGATGGATGAATTTTTCAATATCTTCTTCTCTACTCTTGACTTTCTATCAGGATACCATCAGATCGATTTTCCGAACTTTCAAAACGCCATAACTTCCGAACCGGAAGTCGGATTTAAATTTGATTTAAAGATTCAGATTCCTGACAAAATTCTACCCCTAATTCATAACTCATACGTTAAATTTGGCGAATTTTTATTTTGACCTACTTTTTGGACACGCCATAACTTCGGAACCGGAAGTTGGATCGAAATTTGGTTTGCAGATCTGGATTTCTGAGAAAATTCTATTCTTAATTCATAACTCAAACGTTAAATTTGGAGAACTTTTTATTTTGACCTACTTTTCGGACACCATATCTCAAAAGTGGGTCAAAATACTTTTTGACGGCAAAAGGCTAACGCTATAAGCACACTCTTGGCTACATGTATACACAATTTCGAAGAATATTATTAAAGTGTAGTGTCAGAATCACAAAAATAAGAAAAACCTTTTAATTTGACCTAGATTTTGACCTAGGCATTTTGGTGTCCAAATTTTGAAACTAGATGGCTTTTTTAGGTCCCCTTCTTTTAAAAGCTTTCATTAAATTAAGCTGAACTCAGTCTATATTTCGTATTTTTCACTTCAAAAAAAAATCATTTTTCCCATTGACTTAACATGGGCACCAACTTCAGCGATTTTTGAGCTTTTTAACCAGAAGTCGGATCGAACTTTGGTTTCCAGATTCAGATTCCTGACAAAATTCTACTCTTAATTCACAACTCATATGTTAAATTTGAAGAACTTTTTATTTTGACCTACTTTCTGGACGCCATATTTCAAAATCGGTAAGAGTAATCAAAAAACGGATGGCACGTTTATGAAAGGGCTGTTTCTAAGCTACATGATGAAAAAAAGATGAATACGTTTCCATAAAGAACGACGAAGATAATAGACAGAAGGTTGAAAATGTAAGATTTGACCCAGTTCTAGGATAGGCTAGGATATAGAATAGGAAGGAAGGATAGGATAAGAAGGAAAGGACAGGAAGGAAGGATAGATAGGATGGATATGATCAGACAGGATAGGAAGGAAGGATGGATGATTTTTTCTATATTTTCTTCGCTACTCTTGACTTTCTATCAGGATATCATCAGATCGATTTTTCCCGAAATTTCAAAAGCCATAACTTTCGAACCGGAAGTCAGATTCAAATTTGGTTTGCATATTCGGATTCCCGACAAAATTCTACTCCTAATTCATAACTCATTTATTAAATTTGGAGAACCTTTCATTTTGACCTACTTTCTGGACGCCATATTTCAAAATTGGTAAGAGTAATCAAAAAACGGATGGCACACTTATGAAAGGGCTGTTTCTAAGCTACATGATGAAAAAAAGATGAAGACGTTTCGATAAATAACGATGAAGATAAAAGACAGAAAGTTGAAAACGTAAGATTTGACCTAGTTCTTGACCTTTGACCTAGATAAAAAATTGACCCAATTTCCGAGAAACTAGATACTGGACCTGAATTGACCATATACAGGTCTTGACTCAATGTCTTCTAGTTATTGAGAAAACGTGTTAAGAAAAATAACTAGATTTTGGAAATTGAACGAAGTTCAATTTCAGACTCCAGATCTAGGCTTTTTTTAGCCGTGTCATCCAGAATAAGCTGAGTCATCCAGAATAAGCTGAGTCATCTAGAAATAGATGGATAAATAAAATAGGAAGGTAGGATAGGAAAGAACGATAGGATAGAATAAGAAAGAAGTATAGGATAAAATAGGAAGAAAGGATAGGATAGGAAGGAAAAGATACGAAGAAAGGATAGAAAGGAAGGATAGGATAAGATCAGAAAGGAAGGATGGATGAATTTTTCAACATTTTCTTCTCTACTCTTGACTTTCTATCAGGATACCATCAGATCGATTTTCCGAAATTTCAAAACGCCATAACTTCCGAAATTTCAAAACGCCATAACTTCCGAACCGGAAGTCAAATCGAAATTCGATTGAAAGATTCGGATTCCTGACAAAATTCTACCCCTAATTCATAACTCATACGTTAAATTTGGAGATTTTTTATTTTGACCTAATTTTCGGACACGCCATAACTTCTAAACTGGAAGTCGGATCGAAATTTAGTTTGCAGATTCGGATTCCTGACAGAATTCTACTCTTAATTCATAACTCATATATTAAATTTGGAGAACTTTTTATTTTGACCTACTTTTCGGACACCATATCTCAAAAGTGGGTCAAAATACTTTCTGACGGCAAAAGGCTAACACTATAAGCATATTCTTGGCTACATGTATACACAATTTCGAAGAATATAATTAGAGTGTAGTGTCAGAATCGAAAAAATAAGGAAAACCTATGAATTTGACCTAGATTTTGACCTAGGCATTTCGGTGTCCAAATTTTAAAGCTAGATGGCTTTTGAGGTCCCCTTCTTTTAGAGGCTTTGATTATATGAAGCTGAACTCAGTCTTTATTCCGTATTTTTCACTTCAAAAAAATATTTTTTCCCATTGACTTAACATGGGCACCAAATTTAGCGATTTTTGAGTTTTCAAAACGCCATAACTTCCGAACCGGAAGTCGGATCGAAATTTCTTTTTCAGATTCGGAATCCTGAGAAAATTTCCTATAAGATCAATATCCTGGACATTTGATTCGGAGAACTTTTTTTTTGACCTCGTTTTCGGACACTGATATCTCGAAATCGATTCGAGATATCAAAAAACTAAATCGACCCTAGGTTTCCTACTTTTTTATAAGGAACACAATGAAAAAAACTCAGATCGAAAATATTGAAGGACGACCGAGAAAATCGAAAAAAGTGACAAAGTACTGGATTTGACCTAATTCTTGACTTTTGACCTAGATAAAAATTTGACCCAATTTCCGAGGAACTAGATTCTGGACCTAAATTGACCAAATGACTGACTTTACTAAAAACCTTACGGTTATTGAGAAAACGTGCTCTGAATAATAATAATAATAATAATAAGAAGAAAAAGAATAATAAGAAAACTAACGAAAACAATAGACTCCAGATTTCATCTGGAGTCTAATAATAACTAGACTTTGGAAATTGAACGAAGTTCAATTTCAGACTCCAGATCTAGACTTTTTTTGGCCGAGTCATCCAGAATAAGCCGAGTCATCCAAAATAAGCTGAGTCATCCAGAAAAAGATGGATGGATGGATGGATGAAAAAGGAAGGAATGATAGGCTAGAATAGGAAGGAACGATAGGATAGAATAGGAAAGAATGATAGAATAGAATATGAAGAAGGAATAGAATAGGAAGGATAGGAAGGAGAGGATATGAAGGAAAGGTAGATAAGAAGGATACGATAGGATCACAAAGGAAGGATGGATGCATTTTTCAATATTTTCTTCTCTACTCTTGACTTTCTATCAGGATACCATCAGATCGATTTTTCTCGAAATTTCAAAACGCCATAACGTTCGAATCGGAAGTCGGATCGAAATTTGGTTTGCAGACTCGGATTCCTGAGAAAATTCTACCCTTAATTCATAACTCATATGCTAAATTTGGAGAATTTTTTATTTTGACCTACTTTTCGGACACCATATCTCAAAAGTGGGTAGAAATACTTTCTGACGGCAAAAGGCTAACACTATTAGCACACTTTTTCCTACCTGTATACACAATTTTGAAGCAAATCATTTAAACATAGTGTCAGAATCGCAAAAATAAGGAAAAACTATGAATTTGACCTAGATTTTGACCTGGGGATTTTGGTGTCCAAATTTTGAAGTTAGGTAGCCTTCGAGGTCCCTTTCTTTCATAGGCTTTCATTATTTTAAGCTGTACTTAGTCTATATCTCGAATTTTACACTTCAAAAAAATCTTTTTTCCCATTGACATAACATGGGGCACCAAATTTAGCGATTTTTGAGCTTTCAAAATGTCATAACTTCCGAACAGGAAGTCGGATCGAAATTTGATTTGCAGATTCGGATTTCTGAGAAAATTCTATACTTAATTCATAACTCAAACGTTAAATTTGGAGAATTTTTTATTTTGACCTACTTTTCGGACACCATATTTCAAAAGTGGGGCAAGATACTTTCTGACGGCAAAAGGCTAACACTATTAGCACACTCTTGGCTACATGTATACAAAATTTTGAAGAATATAATTAATCTGTAGTGTCAGAATCGCAAAAATAAGGAAAAACTTTGAATTTGACCTAGATTTTGACCTAGGCATTTTGGTGTCCAAATTTTTATGAAAAGAAGGTTTTGAGGTCCCTTTCTTTTATGGGCTTCCATTATGTTTAGCTGTGCTTAGTCTGTATCTCGTATTTTACACTTCAAAAAAATATTTTTTCCCATTGAATTAACATGGGGTTCCAAATTTAGCGATTTTTGAATTTTCAAAATGCCATAACTTCTGAACCGGAAGTCAAATCGAAATTTGGTTTTCAGATTCGGAATCCTGAGAAAATCTCCTATAAGACTGATATCCTGGACATTGGATTCGGAGAACTTTTTTTTGGACCTCGTTTTCGGACACTGATATCTCGAAATTGGTTTGAGATACCAAAAAACTAAATCGACCTTAGATTTTCTACTTTTTTATGAGGAACACAATGAAAAAAACCCGGATCAAAAATATTGAAGGACGACCGAGAAAATCGAAAAAAGTGACAAAGTACTGGATTTGACCTAGTTCTTGACCTTTGACCTAGATAAAAATTTGACCCAATTTCCCACCAACTAGATACTGAACCTAAATGAACTGTATAATGGTCTTTACTGGATACCTTATAGTTATTGAAAAAACTCTTAAAGAAAAATAATAATAATAAGAAGAAGAAGAATACTGGCAAAAACAATAGACTCCAGATTGACATCTGGAGTCTAATAAAGAATAATGACAAAAGTAATAGACTCCAGATTTTCAATCTGGAGTCTAATAATAAGAATAATAAGAATACAGGCAAAAGCAATAGACTCCAGATTTTCAATCTGGAGTCTAATAATTTGTACGAACTGTTAAAAATTTCACAAATTCTAAATCGAAAGTACCCTATCACATATTCCATGGCAAGAGAGGGCCATGGTATTCCACATTGTACAATTGATTTATCAATCTATTCCTTACAATCTCAAATACAATATCTCCTAAAAAGTCCATAATATGTTATAAATTTATGAAGTTATTTAGGATTTATTTAGGATTCTATGTGCAAATATTGGGATGAATGTTTAAAATCTCCAAAATAATGAAAATAGAGGCCATAATTATAGGAAAATAATACATGATTGTAAAAAGCTTAAGTGTGCATATCTATATATATATATACTAGTAGTGATTTTTAGAAATAGACAAGAAATGATATGATCCAAAAATATTTTAGAATTGAAACAATTTTTTGTTTTGGCTAGATCTGCTTCTCTCTTTAATTAATTTTCGACATTAAAAATCAAAGCAATTTTGGAAAGTTAATATATGTTCTCATAATTATTGGAATGTCTATATGTCATTAATGTGTCTTTTAAAGTCATTCAAGTCACATATCTCAGACCTCAAACCAAGCAGTCTAATCCATTCCAGAATTCTGCAATGGATTTTATCACATTGTTTTAGATTAACATATCAGGTGTTCACAATAGTACTGTATACTCAAAGCTGAAGTGTCTTATGTTTATGAGAACAACTTTGGAAGGAATTTTAGATCATGTCTAATGGTACCACTTTAACATCACATAATGTCCAGGTGTTTGATTTCGGGAGATTGAAAAATGCAAGACCACTGTAGCCACATGGATTGCATCCACAGATGTACGTACAGCTGTTTCTGTTGTCAGGAAGGGCATCAGCAGTAATAAGCTGGCATTTTTCAAACCGTCCTGTGTGAAGATTTGTACTAGCTGGGGCATCCACATCTACGGAGTACACATAATGGTACGGGCTTTCACATTCTAATCGACCTGTCAACACAACATAAAACTCTGTATCAGACCCAAAATCTAAGTTCAAATCAGTTGAGAATTTCAGATATCCGGGGTCTTCAGCTGTATTAGGAATGTTCATACAAGTGTTGTTGTTGAGATCGTAATCAATGATTCGGTTGAGGATCACTGGTGAAAATGTGTTGTCAAAACCTTCGCTCAAGTTAATGTGGTTGCTATAGTCGCAGCCAAGATAGCCAGCCCTGAGTTCAATACCATTATTCCATGTTAGAGGGACAATACGAACATATTTTGCAAGAAATCTTTTACTGAACTTGTGAAAGAGTTTTGTGTCTGCGTCACCTTTCCTTGATACACCTAAAATGAAAAAGTTATATGATAAGCAAATATGTATAACATCTTAAATATGAGAAAATTATAAATGTTTTCTCTGTTACATCAGATTATGAGCAAAAAATTGTGTGGTTTACTATGTACTCATCTACTATCAAGTTCTACGAATGGAACATCATATATTTGATTTTATGATTGATGGCAGTGCTGTAATTACCTGTTTGTCTGTAGTCAATGAGTGATGAAGAGCAATGGGAATCTGAACCACACCAGTTAAGAGTGGAGCAACAATATGCTGTCAAGACATCACATTCCTTATTGTTGTAGGGTGGTCCGCATCTGTCATCTCCAGATATCTTCTCAGGATCTTGATCTGTTAAATCAAACCAGTGCATAATCATCAATTTATTTTAATTATTCTAGCAAACATGGAAAAAATCCTGCATTATGGTTTTTGTAATTTTTGAAATTCTAGATATGAAGATATTATTTAATTTGTATTTTCATCATATAAATGTACATTGCAATATCATAGCCAATTTTCAAAGGTATATTTAAAACCCATAGTTTTTTATGCTAATAGCTCTTTTTGCTTAAATAGTTACTATAATACTTGAATGAGGAATTTGGAAATATTTCAGAAACATGAAATCTCTCTACCACAGTTTATTTGGATTTTGTTTGTTTGGCATCCTCCAATCAGATGATTTTGTCTGCTCTTTGGATCAGTTTATTTTAGTTCTTTTCATATTTATATTCCTGAATAGGATTTTGGCATGTGTTATAAAATATTTACATTGTCTATATGTTTCCAAGCAACCCATTGGAGGGATTGATTTTTGGCAAATATTTTTATATTCGTATTCACGAATAGGATTTGGCATGCTTTTGAAATATTAACATGGTCATTGTTTAGATGACATCTCAACCCAGTCAAACTCAACTCCAAGTAAATTCAACCCCATGTTACCAAGCAACCCTGATGGCAATAGGAAACAAGGCACATGACACGAATGAAATCACACCACCAAATAGATTTTTTCTGAACCGATACGCTTTTAGATATGAGATGTATAAAAAAGTAGGCCACCAATGTGCACACAAGTCAATGTTTTTGCTATATTTCAAGCAACAATTGTCTACACGACCTGTAATAAATACTTGTAAGTGACATTATCATAACTAAATCAATGCCATTGTGACTTTATAAAATAAGTTTCCAAATATTATTTATTTAAAAATGAATCAAAAATAGTAAAAAATGGGATGGAGGTGGAGCAATTTGTCTATAAAGTGAAACAACTTTACACGAATTCTTGTATTTGAAAAATGAACTCAGTAACTTAGTAAGAAACTGGATGTTACACCTCTGAAGAACGGAAAAATTGGGAAAAGAGTTATATAGGACTTAAAGTCGAGTACCATCTCTTATCATGTCTTATGAACATATTGCTCCTCCTTCGTCCTCTCTCCCCCTCCCTTGGTCCCATTTTTATAATTTTTGATTACTTTTTATTTATACATTTGGAAACTTATTCATAAAGTCAGCAATGGCATTAATTTAGTTATGATAACGTCACAAGTATTTATGACAGGTTGTATAGACCATTGTTGCTTGATTTATAGCAGAAACATTGACTTGGGCATGTTGGTGGCTTTGTGCCTTTCTTAATATATCTCCAATCTTTGAAATGTATTGGTTCAGAAAAATCGTAGAACACCTAACATATTTTACCATACCTTGCACCTATTTATTCAGGTTTTTTAATTTTCCAGCAGGAATTGCCTGCTCCCCCTCTGTCCCATTTTTTCCAATCACTGGTCGTGCAGAAGGTGTCAACATGACAAATATCACTATTTGGTTTCAGAAACTTCCAGAATGGCTGCCAGAGAACAAAATGGCTACCCAAAAGTAAATCAGCTCTAGAAGTTGGTATGCCTTATCATTTGTACTGATTTGAAAAAACAATGAGCAGTTTTCTAACGATCATGATAACACCAAACACGACTACAGTATATCCAACTGTGGTGGAAAAAGTGGATAAAAATGAAAGAACTTGATTTCTGTGAATTACATCAGTTAATACACAAACCCCATATCCCAACCAATGACTTTTACAAAGAAGGTTAAATGGTACATCTTCTCCTTTAGTAAGACCATCACTAAGATATTTCAGGTATCTTAATTCACAGGTAATTCACAAGTAAGATTAGTATTTTTCTTTGCTGAAATGAAGGAAAATTTAAACCAATTTATTATATCATTGAAATGTTTCTTGCTTTGTTATTGGATAAGAACTGATCACATGATTGAAAATATTAGGGTGTATTTTATTGTTTCCAGCCGTCTTCAGCTGCAGCCTCCTTTTCAACTGTATATACCACGGAGTATAACCATGGTAGAAAGTCCTGGATGTTATGTTTTTGTCATGATGTCACAACAATATTGTACAAAATACTTGGATATGCATGACAACAAAGCTTCATTGTTATGACGTCATAGCTTATATTTGTAGTGTGAGCATGGGTACTCATAGCAATGGTGTTTTCGTTGCCATGTTACCATTAAATGGTTTAAAGAAATAAACCTAATTTGTAGAATATTCAAATGATATGATAAATCAAATATTCCATTCTATACATGTTCATCTTTCCCTCAGATATATTTCCTGCTGCAGGAAATACACTGAGGGAAAGATGAACATGCATTCACCTCAATAGAATGGAATATTTGGTATATATTACCTGAAAATCTATCTCTTTCAATCCAGTTCACACCATCCATGCTCGATAAAACCTTGTATGATGTAATCATTTTATTTCTTCTATTGCTTCCCTGTGTTATGACCTCTGTGACAACATTGATCTTTGGAAATTCAGCCTAAAACAAAGTAGGAGAAAGATGTGCAAAAAATGTAATAGTACATGGAGCTCTTCATCATTTTGTAGTTTATGATGAAGTTAAGCCATACGTTTGTTGGCGCCTTTCCTATTTCATTTGAAGAAATAACCTTAGAAAATTAACAGATACTGAAGGTTAAACTGACTTGTAAAAATATATTGAGCAAACAAAGCTCTCGCATGTCCAAATTCATTCAGTTTGACTTATCCGAGTTTTAGTACTGCCAAAAACATCAATATTAAAGGACAACTGAAATAGCTTTTCTCAACTTGCAGCTACAAAAATGCGGTTTTCTCCATTGTAAGCCCAACGTAGAGTTCTTGTGATAGCCATTATGAAATAAATGTTAGATAACTGCTAACGGTCATAGATAACGAAATAAAACAAACTGATCAATCAAATTGGCCCCCACGTGATTAGTAACGTCATATACAAAATATAGCTTTGGTTTATTGGTTCCTTAGTAATCACAACGTCACGGCAACCATAGGATTGTTGTGTAAACAAATAACAAAACATTTTGGCATTATGACGTCATGATCTAATGGACCAAAACGGGCCACGTGGGGGCCAGTGAGAGATCACGTGGGGGCCAATAACGTCACAACCAATTCGAATATTGTTTATTAAGCAGCTATTACGATCGTTAGAGTGAAATAATTTTCACACTACTGATGAGAAAACATGTCCAAATACATTTATCAAAAAATCAAATTGATTCCCTTAGGTTAAAAAATACCATTTCATATCTGCTTTAATGCACAAAACAGTTCTGTATGGTATCACTTATCTGTTTTTATGGTCCATGGCAGGATGGGTAAATATCAGGCAAGATGGTGGAAAAAACATGTTCGATATTGATGAACCTTAAATTCCAGCTAAATCAAGTATTCTCATCCCAAATGTTTTAATTGTAAAATAACAATGTTCCGATTTTAATTAGAAATGCTCAAAATCTCCCAAACTAAAATGGGGGATTATATTAATCAATGGAAAGAATACACGAGCATTCAAAATCCTCATCAACTAAAAGCATTCCCTTAAAAATCCCTTTGAAATAATAATTTATTTATTGCAGATAATCAAGTTCAAGCAAGTTTTTTTCTAGTATTTAAATATTCAATGAGAAACATGAGAATCGGCTTGAAAATCTTATCTATTTTAGCTAACCTGAAGCCATTGATCCTGATTATAGATTCCAGCAGACCATCCTCCTAAACGAAATATTTCCTGGTCATCAGTTGTTAATGTATCAATCTTTGACTGTGCCGCATCATATAAAACTGGATCATTATCACCAACACTTGAAACAGATAGGATGACATCAGGGTCAGCTTTGATCAATGACTGGGAGCAGCTTCCTGATGGTAGACACCCAATCAGCTCCACTCTCATTGCAATCGCACCATTCCATGCTATGATTTCAAGACGGTAGATTTTGGCGGTAGCTGTTGGTACAAGCAGATGTGTAACTTTGTCCTCTGCATTGGTGTTTGCATCATATGGGCCAACACTCACCCACTCATCACTTGAGGTTGGTTTGTGCTTTACATTATATCGAGTTACCCAATTTGTGGAACCCTCACCTCCCTGCGTTATAACCTTATCCACAGTTGTCAGTTCACGAAAGGAGACCTCCCAATATTCAGTTGCATCATTTGTTGCAGGCATCCAACCTCCAAATTTCTCAACTGTCCCCAAGGTAGTGTGTAGTACTGTGGTGGCATCAATATATGCATGTTGTGGTCCATAATACAAGTCACTTATCTTTATGGACGAAGGAGAGAATTCAATTGTTGGATTATCTTTTGTCATTGCAGTTTCACATGCATCAGGGACAGGGTGATATGTACCCAATCCTGAAGCCCATTGACCTTCTGATGGTACCATCTGAGACGTTGGACAAACATAATTTTTCTTGAAACATCGACTTGTCTCAGGGTGATACGTGAATATCACACAGGTTGGAGTTGCTTTGCATTCTGCAGCACACTCCTCTACTGATATACCGATTATATTACTAATGTCTGTTCCAGGGCAATAGCCAGCTCGTTTCACCCATCCTTCTATCTCTGATGTAAGCACTTCCCCTTTAATTTCTCCTCTACAGACCCTCGTCAGCATAAACAATAGCATGAGAGACATGCGAAACATGTGAGCACCTTTCATTCTCTTGAGTCATCATGAACTCTTATGTACAAAAATACTCTATATATTGTCCCACAAGCTTGGTAAAGCTCGTTCCTAATTGGTTGAAAAACAAAGGAACAGTAACATAACAATAGTCTCGTATTGGAAATTTATTTTTCCAATATACAGGTTGACATCACAAGGAAATATATTGAATGGACAGTTTCATTACTTTTGCTCCTAAATAAACCTAAGATGTAACTCATTCTATTATTTACTTTATTGATGGACCATGATGCAAAGAATCTTTTTCGGATATTTCAGGACTTGGAACATTCACTGCTCACACTGTTACAATTTGTAAGCAATATGAGATGTTCCAATTTAAAAAATAATCAGTTTTATTAAACCAAAAAGTTTCAACCTTATCCTCAGACCTGTTCCAAAACTCACTGGTGTTTCATTATGGCATTTTATTTTGGTTCCATAGTTACTGTGATATTAATGGATATCGATATCTGTACCCTCTCACGACACGATCCCTATGCAGATGTCAATTTGTGGATAAATATCATATCACTCATGAATCATAGGATATCCTTTATTTTATCAATATGTGAATTGTAACGGTAACCAAAATCACCCTATGCAGAGAGATCCTGACGAGAAATATTTGATGTGGCAGAAATGAGTGTTTTGTTGTGGATGCAACGGTCATTTTTGAAAATAGAAGTGCCCAACCTATATATCTGGTGTTCAAGATACTGTATAAGTGGTATTTAATCCGAGTGGTTAATTTTCCGAATGGTCAAATTTCATCATTTTCCTAATTTTAATTTTCCTAATGACAAGAAACCTCCCATTGGATAACATTATAAAGACAATATTTCCGACATTTAATTTTCCGAACCTGGCAAAAATTAGGAAATAGGCAAATTAAATGATTAGGCAAAATTACCACTTATGCAGTATACTATCCATACAAATTATTTTAGCATCATGAAAGCCAGATAGTTTCTGTGGGATACTATAAAGATTCATAAATGTTCATCAGATATGTAAATATTTGGCGAGGCAGAGCTCTATTAACAAAGATTGCAAAAATGTTATCGTTTGATGATATTGTATTTTGTTTTGTGAGACGACTTGGAGCACATCAACTGTTTCCAGAACCTCTAAACATACTAGAAAATATGTTTTCATGCAAAAAGCACATTTAACTGATGACTTGATGTAACGTGATTAAAAAGCTGTGTAGGTGATCAGGTTATCAAACAAACATATTTCCTAGCATTTCCTAATACTTAGGTTGCATGAACTTCAGAACGAAGACCTGTATCAAAAGAATTTGATTATTTGTTGATGAACAAAGAGGATTTGATAAAAAAGAAAACAACATTGATATTATATGCAGGAAAGGCTGTCAACTAAATAAATGTTGAAATTAAAACATATGTTTTAAAATATTCTATTTATTTTATCTTTGAAAATCGAAAACAAACTCACAATTTTGCAGATATATTTATTAAATTTTTTTATGCTTCAGGGACCCATTGCCACGAAGCTCGTTGAAGCAAAATAAACAGAGAGATCAACCTGTTCAATCTTTAGCAGGACCTTATGACAGGTAAAATCAATTAATTATTAAACACATTTTCCTACATTTTTCTCCAAAAAACATTTTGCCATTGAATTCCTCAAAATTAATACTATTTTTATTAGTATAGACTTGCTTTCATATTGTGTTATATTTTTTCGCATGGGGTGTCAGCCACCATTTTTTCCAGTGTTTATGTTTGCACTCCACTACTTTTCCTATTCATTAATTATTAACATAACAAGTTATGATTATCTTTTCATTAAGTAATTTTCATTTGTCATGTTATGTGATATATTGAGCAAGGTTTTCCCTTCTCCCTTTGCCCTGGAATTGATTATTCAACCTTATTGTTACAAATAATGTGCATCTTTTCATCAAGTCATGATCATTTGATATAGCATCCTAGCTCTTCATGTGCATTCACTGAACAATGGACAATCTGTATAGTATATACATTTTACTGATTGATTTTTGTTTTTCATCAGTAGAATTGAAAACAATGTGTGTTCCCCCTAGGCAGATTCTCTATCTTGTTGGTTTCATTTGCAATGTTTATGCTCTATCCCCTTGCATTAACATGATTTTTATTACCTGGGTTTGCCTGGTTTGAAACTTTGAGAGGAACACATAATGTCGGCGTAAACTGAATTACTAAAGTGACAATGCTTTATTCTAGGAACCCAAAATATCTACCTGACATTATGCTCAGAACTAGAAGTGCTGAATTCACTTAAATTCCTCCACTGCATTTCACTCTTGTGTTGTGTATTGTAAAACCATTATATTTACAAGTACATGGTGACATGTAGATTGTAAGTACATTTTTTCTCTTACAGACGAGGAGGTTATGATGAAGTTGATGGTACATATAGTCAAGAGACTCGCCTCAAACAACAGGCAAAGACATCATCTCATCATGACAGTGATAGTGACCTGGATGAATACAACTACAAAGACCAGACAGCTGAGAGAAAACGTCAAGTGTTCCGCTCAAAAGGGCCTTATAAATCAGCTCAGAATTTGCATCAACAAAGGTAAGTCTTAATTTAAGTATATATAAGTGGCATTGTTTTCTAAAATCTTTTTCAGCATTTCCACAATTTCAAAATTTTGGGGATCAAAAATCATTACTTGGGAAATTGGAACAAGCATATGTTGACATTGACTTGCCCTAACTGTAATATAATTTTTTTAGTAGGAACTAAACAGACCTACAATGTACTTGAATGATGACATAAATATGGTGTAAATATATCAAAAAATTAATAATAAGGAAACCTAAGTAGACCTCTGACATTGATATGGTCTATTTGTACCATAAAATTAATACACAGGAAACCTGAACAGACCTTTGATGACATTCTGGGCAAAAAATGTTCTTACATGTATATAAATGTTATTTTAATGTTTGTTACTGTATTAGTTAAGTTTGTCTTTTGTACTCTTATACCCTATATAGGGGTGAATTGAGAAATCAATAAATAAAAAAAATAAAATATAGATATGGTCTAAATATATAATTATATTCATACATATGAAACCGAACAAAACTATGTTGATATTGGTATGCCTGAAATGCAATAAAATATTTATCAAAACTTATGATGACATTGATATGGTCTAAATATATTATAATATTCATTCAAAGATAACCCTACCAAACCTATAAGGACATTGATACAGTCTAAACCTATTTTAACATTCATTCATAGGAAACCCTACCAACACTATGATGATATTGATATGGTCTAAATGTGATTCATTCATAGATAACCCTACCAAACCTATAATGAAATTGATATAGTCTAAACCTATTTGAATGTTCATTCAAAGGAAACTCTACCAGACCTATGATGACATTGATATAGTCTTAACCTAAATTAAAATTCATTCAAAGAAATCCATCCCAAGCTTATGATGACATTGATATAGATGTAGTTTTAACCTATTTTAATATTCATTCATAGGAAACCCTACCAAACCTATGATGAAATTGATATGGTCTAAATATAATTTAATATTCATTCATAGGAATCCCTACCAAACCTATGATGACATTGATATAGTCTAAACCTATTTTAATATTCATTCATAGGAAACCCTACCAAACCTATGATGACATTGATATTGTTTAAATCTATTTTAATATTCATCCAAAGAAAACTCTACCAAACCTATGATGACATTAAAGGCAGAATCAGATCTATAGGGGTGACAAAATTACAAACAACATGTACAATTGACCTACCAATCTATTCATTACAATCTCAAATACAATATTTCCCAAAAGGTTCACGATAATGTATAAATTGATGAAGTTATCATGGATTCAAAGTGCAAAAATGAGTGTAAAATGTTAAAATTCTCTCAAATAATAAGAATGGTAATCATTTTTATAGAAAAATAATACATTATTGTAAAAATCTATCGTTTTCCTGAAATAAACTGTGTACTTTGGGGATTATTAAAAAATAGATATGACAAGGAATGACATGAGCCAGATATATTCTAAAATTGAATCAATTTTTGTTGGCCTGCTCGCTATCTCTGATACTCTCTTTAAACTCTAAATCTATTTTATATCATCCTCCTAAGCAGGTGTCCAGAATCCGTACCTCCTTCCCCCTGCTATAACCAATTTGGAAGCTCCCGATTTAACTAAATCACATGATCTAATTATGCGCAATGACTTATATATGATTTCTGTCGCAGTGTTGCGACAGCCAATCAGATTGCGAGTTCTTAATCGGGGAAATGTTAACTGCTTATCGCATGGGGTAAAAAGAAGGAATATATTCTGGATTTTGAAGCCCTGTAATCGGAGTATGATTTTATATTCATTCAAAGAAACCCCTAACCAAACCTATGATGAAATTGATATGGTCTAAACCTATTTTGATTATCATTCATAGGAAACCCTACCAAGCCTATGATGACATTGATATGGTCGTGCCAACAAAACAAAATCGAGAATACATCACTGAACAGTACCTGAGCCAGGTGACATCAAGTAAACCACCTGCACTGAGAAGGTCAGTGAACAATAACAACAGTGAATCTTCCAACATTAATCCAGGCCCCCTGTCAAAGTTTTTAATACAAAGGTACACTGATAATGTTTGAAATAACTTAATAAAAGAATATTACCTCAGCAGTTATTCCAAGTCAAAAATGGAGCTTGAAAATGGCATTGATTTTACTATTTTGTCTTTTGTGAAAACTTTTAATGATAAAATATATTATGGTTTTATTACTGACAGTCATTTATGATGTACTCATCCATAATTTATTTTTTACGAAAAAGTATTGACCATATTGAAATGATTTTCATTCATTTATATTTTTAACTTTTCTCAAAAAGTATAAATTTGAATATTGAATGTTTCAATCATTGAACCTTTTCATGTTCAGGAACATTCAACAAGATTGCACCATAATTTCAACCCAAATCTGCAACATCATCTTGCAGCGCTGTACAGCACTGTTAACAGTACTGAACGGTGCAGTTCGAGCACTGCAGTGATGTACAGTAGTACTGTTTTTACAGCGTTGTCCAGCACAGTGTTTCATAAACAGAGATGTTTGAGATTGGCAGTGTATACTAAAATTATAGTGTTGCAATTTTCAACACCATTTTTTCCATGGTGTTTCCATAAACAATTTTTTCCCCATCAGAATCTTTTTGTAACTTTTTGGAAAAAAACTTCCTTGAATCAAAAGTATTCTGCCTGGCAAAATAGGAGGTTTTGTTAAACTTTATTTCTGTGTTAGCAATGGTCCAAGTAGAGGCTACCAATACAAGCATAGTAGAACTAGATCAGCCGGAAGTGGGCGCAATGGAGAAGTTCTCAACTCAAGCATAACTTCTAGAACATCAGGGGCCAGTAATGGTTTCCATGGCAGCAGGTGAAATTTTATTATACAAATGTGTACCAAAACATTTATGTTACTCAATAAATAACTATAAAATATATTTAAAACTGATATTATTGTTGTGTATAATGTGTTGTAAAGTGTATAGATAAAAAAAATATTGGTTAATATTTATTACATTAATATTCATCACCATGATTGCAATAATTTCATAACCTTTGACTTAAATGACTTGGATGAAACAATGAATCTTTCTATGTTTCATCATTCACTTCTGGTGGTGACTGATTGTTATAGTCTCCATGTGGATGGCGGTTGGCATGGGGCATCTGTAACAAATAGCAGGTGGTGGTAACATTTTGCGTGTAAAATCCTTGTAATTACTTATAGGACAACCTTAAACAGAACTTCTAGCAGCTATCTGAACTTGAATTCAAGCTTGAAAGGGCAAAATACCGGGGCAGGAATATGTAAACCTGCTAGTCATTTTGTTCCCAGTACTAAGAATTCACCCATTCAGAATGTTGACCCAAATAGTGGGCCAAATTCTCTGGAACGAAGAGACTCCTGGTTTGGTGATCAAGGATATGAGGTCCCCTCTGCTCCTTCATTGGATGAGCCTGACTCAGGGAGATTCAAGTAGGTTGATAGTATATATTTAAGGGTGAATACTATTTTCAGTTTATTATTCAGGGCTTTGTTATTCATAAATATGGAGGACAAATCCCCCCCAGATGTATTATGTTATACGTGTACTGAAATACAAATCAAATGTACAATTAACATGTGAGAGGATTCACCTGAAATACAAATCAAATGTACAATAAATATGTTGGAGGATTCACCTGAAATACAAATCAAATGTACAATAAACATGTGGGAGGATTCACCTGAAATACAAATCAAATGTACAATAAATATGTGGGAGGATTCACCTGAAATACAAATCAAATGTACAATAAACATGTGGGAGGATTCACCTGAAATACAAATCAAATGTACAATAAATATGTGGGAGGATTCACCTGAAATACAAATCAAATGTACAATAATATGTTGGAGGATTCATCTGAAATACAAATCAAATGTACAATAAACATGTGGGAGGATTCACCTGAAATACAAATCAAATGTACAATAAATATGTGGGAGTATTCACCTGAAATACAAATCAAATGTACAATAAACATGTGGGAGGATTCACCTGAAATACAAATCAAATGTACAATAAATATGTGGGAGGATTCACCTGAAATACAAATCAAATGTACAATAATATGTTGGAGGATTCATCTGAAATACAAATCAAATGTACAATAAACATGTGGGAGGATTCACCTGAAATACAAATCAAATGTACAATAAATATGTGGGAGGATTCACCTGAAATACAAATCAAATGTACAATAAACATGTGGGAGGATTCACTGGTGTTTTTTTGTCCTGTCCTGTTGTCCTGTTCTACTTTTTAGACAATCAAGATTGGGTGAAAGTTGACTGTCCATAAAGAGATTTACTGTATACTAGCATGTTATTTATTCATTCCTTTGCCAGTGAACAAAAATTATTTGGGAAAATTGAAAAGATAAAAACATTTTGGTGTCATAATTTTGTGTTTATGTTTATATTAGTAACAGAAATACCCCAGGCATTTCAACCCCCTGTGTCCGTTACTACAATAAGCATAAACAATAAATATAAAAGACAAACGATAGGTTTTTGTCTTTGTTTTTGTTTTATATATTTATGAATTCATTTGTGAATATAGTTCCACAATAAAACTAGTCTCATGATGATCATCAACAACTGAACAAGTCAGACTGAACCATGGAATGTGTCAGAATGAAAATGACATTTATTATTAAATGCTAGTAGAATGTGACTATCATTTTGACAATGAACAAAGCCTTTTATAGATACTTGTTTTTCATCTGCTTGCAATAGTCTAAATTATATTTTATTTATTCATTTGCAAACATTGTTTCACAATGAAAAATATTTTGATATATTCATCAACAAGGAACCGGCTGAACCTTGGAATGTTTCAGAACTGATATGATATGCAGTATCAATTATATAGCTACAATACTGTTATGACAAAACAGACTCGCGGATATGAAAATCGCATTATTTGAGAGTTTCTTTCTAATATCACTATACGTATATTCCCCAAACACATTTCTTTCTAATATAACTACATATTCCCCAACACACATTTCTTTCTAATATCACTACATATTCCCCAAACACATTTCTTCCTAATATCACTACATATTCCCCAAACACACTATAAAGCAAATGGTTAATTGACTTGATCACTCTCTTCAGGGTCACCTTCTATATCAGATTTATTGATAAAGACCCTACAGGTGCATTGACCTGTCACCTATTCACCTGGGTAGAATTCCACATGTCCCATGTTTTCTGGAATAAATTATTTATTGTGTTTATCCAGGCTATTAGATACATTGTATAAATTGCAATACATTGTATTCTATTCACCTACCAACTGGGTAGAATTCCAAATGTCCCATGTTTCTCCATGTTTTTCTGGTATGAATTATTTATTATCCCATCGAACGAAGTTCGGAGGGATATAGGGAACGCCTCCGTCAGTCCGTCCGTACGTACGTCCGTCCATCCGTCCGGGCAAAAACTCAAATACCGTCGGCCCGATTTTGTTCATATTTTGTACACATATACCCTATGGGGGTAGAAGTTCTGCCTGAAAGCCGTTTTTCAAAATGGCCACTCATTTCAAAATGGCGGCCATTTTAGTGATGATTTTACAGTAATTTAGGTGCAATATGTAAAACTGCAATAGCAATATGTTTTAAATGTAAAAAAATTATAAAGGACATTAATAATGCTACAAATGTAGATATTAAAGAAGCACATGGCAGCCATCTTGAAAAATGGCGGCCTTTACTCATCATTTTATGATTTTTGCTGTAACTCAAAAAATAGTGGAGCGATTTTGTTCATATTTGGTATGTGAATACTATAAGCATTGCACACTGTCTAAAGACACTTTTGGTAGAAGGCGGCCATTTTGAAAAATGGCCTCCATTTTAACATATTTTACTATAACTCGAGAAGTAGTGGAGCTATTTTGTTCATTTTTGGTATGTGAATACTTTAAGCATGGCACACTGTCCTATGACACTTTTGGTAGAAGGCGGCCATTTTGAAAACAATTTTGAAAAATGTATTTCACTATAATTCGAAAAGTAGTGGAGTGATTTTGTTCATGTTTGGTATGTGAATACTATAAGCATGGCACACTGTCTATTTCTAATGACGCTTTTGGTAGAAGGTGGCCATTTTGAAAAATGGCCGCCATTTTAACGTATTTTACTATAACTCGAAAAGTAGTGGAGCGATTTTGTTCATATTTGATATGTGAATACTTTAAGCATGGCACATTGTCTAATAAAACTTTGGGGAGTAGTCGGCCATTTTTCAAAATGGCCACCATTTTTATGTGTGTTATTTTACAAGTACGTGTGCAATTTTTCAAAAATTTAAGAGGTGGCTACTTAAAAGCATATTATTTCTTCTGATGACAACTTGGCTAGTGAGCAAACATTCGAAAATGGTGGCCTTTCTGGTGTGTTGTTTTATGATATTTGCGCTTCGTTTGTAAAAATGCCAGCCATTTCTGTTCGATGGGATTCGCTACGCTTTGGCGTTGCCGTTGTTCTGGTTGTGTATTGTGCAGGCTATTAGATACATTGTATATATTATATTGTATACATTTCAATACATTGTAATGGTAGATCTGTTTCAGCTTGTAATATTTTCGATCAGATGTTATCTTTTTCTTTATTGTAATTCTGATGTTAACTTCCCATATTGTAGATCTGAAATGTTAATTATATACAAGTAGTAGATCTAATGTTACTTGAGATATTGTACATATACATGTAGATATGAAATGTAAATATGCCATGTTGTCAACATAAAATGTTAACTATCTTGCCATATTGTAGATCTGATGTTAACTTGCCATATTGCCAAGCTGATGTTACTTGCCATATTGTAGATATGAAATGTTAACTTGCCACATTGTAAGTCCAATGTTAACTTGCCACATTATAGATCTAATGCTAATTTGCCATATTGCAAATCTGATTTTAACTTTACTTGTAGATCTGGTGTTAATATTACATACCAGCAGAAGAGAAGTCCTACCCAAGAGCCTGAAGAAGATTGGTTTGCAGGACATGGCAGTGTACGAAACCTTGCATCTAACTTCCAAAATCATGCAAAAACAGTATGTATAGTTTGGGTGTTATCCCCTAATTTTTATTTTCAATTGAGTTACATTGTAAATGAATAGCAAAAGGATTCAGCACCCATTTTCTTTAATCCTTAGAAGATTGCTGCATCATATTCAAGATCTAATTTGAAGCTGCTAAATTATTTTCTTGAAGCACACATTCCAACAAACAGTATTACGCAATAGGAGTAGTATTCGTTGTATGCCCCATCTACAAGAAGCGGATAACCTGCCTCCCAAGACCTTCGCTGTCGTACCTAATGCTCCCCAGTACCGGCAACTCAATAATGATGAGGTACATATATTGCCTCAAATTCTATATTTATTTATATTTTCAAGCAATAGATAAGCATATGGTTATTTATTCTAATTTATCGTTTTTCCCTGTTTTGCCATTTTTTACAATCTTAACCCTTCGAAGTGTTATATTGGTGAATAGACCTGTTACACACATTTGAATACATCATTTGTGTACATTGAACAAAATTTACCAAAACTGGACCCATTATAGGAGAAATGCTGTGACTGATATATCATTCCCTCAATATGTGTTTTAAAGAGGTTTAAATGAAAGAATAAATAGCTATCATTCCAAAGCAGGTTGACGTCAACTTTCTAATTCAGAGGTTTATACTATACATTTTTGTATCAAGGCTATTAAGGCCTACACCCCACATTTGACATCTATAGTTCTATTTTTCATGTATTTTAATACAGAGCCAACAGTCCTCTATATCACCTGCAGACAGTATGCCTGACAACATCAAACCATCAGTTAGGGCCAAAGATGCACAGTTCAGTAGCACCCCTCAACATCAATCAAGGCTCCCTATGTTAGACAAGACAAAACACCCCATGGAGCAGCTGAAACTAGACCCAGTGGATTCCCTGGATGAAATTGTGACACAAAATATGTCTGTTAAACCAAAGGGTATGTTAGGACCAGCAAACATTTCATATATCACTTGAACCTTTCAATGTATTTAGATATTTTGTCAAATGTATTCATATATATCACTTAAATCTTCAATGCATTCACACCTCTCACTTGAATATTCAATGTATTCACACCTCTCACTTGAATATTCAATGTCATCACACATCTCACTTGAATATTTAATGTAATCACCAATCTCACTTGAATATTCAATGTATTCACACATCTCAATTGAATACATATTCAATGTAATCACACATCTCACTTGAATATTCAATGTAATCCTGAATCTCACTTGAATATTCGATGTATTCACACATCTCAATTGAATATTCAATGTATTCACGAATCTCACTTGAATCTTCAATCAATGTATTCACACATCTCACTTGATTCTTCAATGTATTCATGAATCTCACTGATTCTTCAATGTTATTACACATCTCTCTTGATTTTTAAGGTATTCAAACATCTCACTTGATTCTTCAATATAATCACACATTTCTCTTTAATCTTCAATGTGTTCCCATACTTCATTTCATGTATTCACACATCTCACTTGAAACGTAATATGTCCATACAACTCATTTAATAAGCCTAATTTACTTTAGGGGAGCTTGGAAAAGGGGTTGATAATGTCGACAGCCATATGGTGAAGTCCCCAAACAGTGAGTATATATTCTTTCATATGAATACTGTATATCAATGTTTAATAAAATAACTTGAATTAAGGTCAGCTTCAGATATATCAAAGACAGTTGCTTTAAAAGAATGGTCCCTTAACATTTATGACTTTGAAATCAATTTTGTTTCAGAATTTGAATCAAACAATGATACGTTTAGGACAGCCCTGGAATCCAGTAATTCAAACAACTCCAGCTCAGGGGAAAATGTGGATAGGATAAACAGACTTCTTAGTCAGGCAGATAAACAAGTAAAGATGCACTGAAGTTTATAGATAGTAGATACAGTACAATGCAATCAGTTCAAAATCAGTATGTTGTCCCACATTGAGACATATTTTAACACCAAAAAACAACAAAATACTCAACATAAAACAATTCTAGGGAGGACATTGACATTATATTAGTAGAAAATTGTGGAGCTCAAAATTATGCTTACAAATAAGAAATGTTGATGAATTTTACATCTTAATACATGCCCTAAATCATGTAAATATACATGTCCTAAATGTCCCTGTGTTCTTCAGATTGCAGGAATGAACATTGGCAATGGAAAGCATGCTGTTGATGATGACTCTTACTTTGATGATGAGCTAAATCCTAATGCAGAACAAGCAAGACATATGAGACTTCAGGTATTATATTGATTAAGAAGCTAAGTTTGTGTGGAAATCAAAAAAATAAAGCTTTCCCATGCTTTTGAATTAATTCATTATAAAAATACATAAAATCAGATTTTTCATGGATGTTTCCTACTTTGAAAGTATAAAAATGTATATCAAGTCAATATATCCTGAGAAGTTTAAACATTTTCTTTTATCTATCCCACATCATTTGAGACTGAATTATCTTTTATGAGTACTAGTATCTACAACTATTTTTGATGTTATGAGTATTGGCTATCAATTTTTCAATTTTTCTTCAACATTTATTGTAATGACTTCAGTATGAATGAAATGTCCCTTGGTGTTCTGGTCCCGGATTGTGATATTGGTTCTCGATTGGAGGGGGAGGGGGATGTTACTGTTAGACATTGTTTCCTTTCATGTTAGATCATGGTTTTGGGATATATAGGGTCTACTTTTCTTATGACAGATTTACACTTACAGTTTGCTTTTCTTGTTGGGTTTCCTTAAGTTTTTAGTCACCCTTCCCTTTTGGCATTATGCTTATATATTCTTCCAGCAAACCATGGCACTAGATCCTGACTCTAACATGACTCCTGAAAGGGACCTTGAAGGAAGAAACTTTGAGCCTAAAGCCTCCAACTATGAGTCCAGAAATGTGACCTTTGACCCCAAGAATATGACATATGACCCCAGTCAAGCTGAGAGCACTATTCGCTACATAGATGGCACTGCGGGTGAAAGTTTATTTCAAGTGTCTGCCTTGGGGAATACAAATGGTAAGTAAATCAGGTTTATGGGCTTGTTCTATGGAATTCTGATTTTGCTTATAAATGAATCGGAGGAAGATCAAAAGATATAAAGGAAAATTAGAAGTAGGCCTTGTCATGCATTTAGTTCTTGTTCTTTGTACATGTTTGACTTTGAAAAAAGAAAAATTGGAATATTCCTTTTGAATAGAGTAGAAAGATGCCAGGGATTTACTGAGAATAAAGATTTGTGCAAATAATGAACTAATTTACTTGCCCTTTCCATTAAAAACTCAAAATGTCACATTGCTTGATATGTTTGAGAAACTATGCGTGAAGTTGACTTGATATTTCAGAGACTCCATTCACTCCATACACCCCAGAATACAATACACTTCACATGTAATTGACTTGATATTAATTACAGAGTATATGACTCCATTACACCCCAGAATACTATAGACTTCACATGTAGTTGACTTTATATTAATTACAGAATATATGACTCCATTCACTCCATACACCCCAGAATACTATACACTTCACATGTTATTGACTTGATATTAATTACAGAATATATGACTCCATTCACTCCACACACCCCAGAATACTTAACACTTCACATGTAATTGACTTGATATTAATTACAGAATATATGACTCCATTCACTCCATACACCCCAGAATACTATACACTTTACATGTAATTGACTTGATATTAATTACAGATTATATTACTCCATTCACACCATACACCCCAGAATACTTAACACTTCACATGTAATTGACTTGATATTAATTATAGAGTATACGACTCCATTCATTCCATACACCACAGAATACTATACACTTTACATGTAATTGACTTGATATTAATTACAGAATATATGACTCCATTACACCCCAGAATACTATAGACTTCACATGTAGTTGACTTTTTATTAATTACAGAATATATGACTCCATTCACTCCATACACCCCAGAATACTATACACTTCACATGTAAATGACTTGATATTAATTACAGAATATATGACTCCATTACACCCCAGAATACTATAGACGTCACAGAATATATGACTCCATTCACTCCATACACCCCAGAATACTATACACTTCACATGTTATTGACTTGATATTATCGGACTCCATTCACTCCGTACACCCCAGAATACTATACACTTCACATGTAATTGACTTGATATTAATTACAGATTATATTACTCCATTCACTCCATACACCCCATAATACTATACACTTCACATGTAATTGACTTGATATTAATTATCCCATCGAACGAAGTTCGGAGGGATATAGGGAACGCCTCCGTCCGTCCGTCCGTACGTACATCCGTCCGTCCGTCTGTCCGTCCGTCCGGGCAATAACTCAAATACCGTTGGCCCGATTTTGTTCATATTTTGTACACATATACCCTATGGGGGTAGAAGTTCTGCTTGAAAGCCGATTTTCAAAATGGCCGCTCATTTCAAAATGGCGGCCATTTTAGTGCCGATTTTACAGTAATTTAGGTACAATATGTAAAACTGTAATAGCAATATGTTTTAAGTGTAAAAAAATTATAAAGGACATTAATAAAGCTACAAATTGAAGATTTTTTTTATTAAATCAACCGTTTATGGAACTTACTTACCTCTTAATTATATCCCATTACCTTAATAAATTGACTAGTCGAAAGGTCTAACACCCCTATTGAATGAACGGATTAGTGAATAAACTCGTCCAATACACTGCCTATCCATGCTTCATGCTACGACCTACTTCATATTACCGAGAGACCTCGAAGATACAAAAAAATAAAATAAAAAATTTCCCTCAAGCGGGGAAGGTGGGTGGGTCTCTGGTAATTAAGAGGTAAGTAAGTTCCATAAACGGTTGATTTAATAAAAAAAATCTTCAGTTTATATCACTTACTTCCCTCTTAATTATATGTCATAGCATGTAACATATTGGATAGGTGGGGTGAAAAAAGTTGTTGTGTAGCCCTCGATAGTAGAAAAAGACCTCTTTTTAGTGTTTCTGAGATAAATGAAGAAATCTGCAATCATTGGAATAGATGCCTCGATGGGATTGGTATCTCTTTCCAAACACCAAACAGAGAATAATTTCCACTTTGAATCGTAGATGGCATTGGTAGATTTTCTCCTAGACTTTTGTACTGCTTTGGACACTTCTTCAGAAAACCCCTCCTCTCGCAAGTTATTGTTGATAACAGACAAGCGTGTAGAGACATCTTTTCTGGATCTTGATGAAAAATCGAGGTCCTTGGCATAAGAAGGAGTTTCTTCCATATTGGAATCAGTACAGGAAAATCTACTAGTAGACTGAGAAGGTCTGGGTACCATGGTTGATTGGGCCATTTTGGTACTATCATTACACATTTTGTGTTTTGGTGAGCCTGCAGTTTGTTCAGGACTGCTGCTATCATTGCTGTTGGGGGAAATATGTAGAAGTACATGTTGTCCCAATTCAGTGACATGGCGTCTGTTTTCCACGACTGAAGATCTGGAACTGGAGCCACGTAAACTGGTAGTTTGTGATTGTGAGATGTGGCCATCATGTCCAGATTGGGAGTTGGCCATATTTTCCATAGATTCTTGGTTATGTCTGCATGAAGAGACCACTCTGTGTTGACAATCTGGTTTTTCCGGGATAACTGATCTGCCCTTCTGTTCAGTGATCCTGGAATATGATTCGCTCTGAGTACAATTTGCTGATTGTGACACCATAAGAGAATCTCCTGAGTTAACTGGAGTAGTTGAGGGGAATGTGTTCCGCCCTGGTTGTTGATATATGCTGCTACAGTCGTGCTGTCTGTGCAAATCAGAATATTCTGTCCAGTTATCTTTTCCTTGAAGAACATCAGAGCTTTCTTGACTGTTAGTAACTCCAGAAAGTTGATGTGATGACTTGATTCCAACTGGGACCAGACTCCAGAGCATTCCTGCGATTGTGTGTGGGCCCCCCATGCTTCCAACGATGCATCTGTGTAGATTGTCATTGTTGGGTGAAATCTGTTGAGAGGCTGACCAGCTTGTAAATTCCTGGGGTCTAGCCACCATAGGAGTGCCCCCTGAGCATCTGGTGAGAGGACAACTAGATGTGACTGGGGCTGAGATAGAGGAGACCACTGTTGGAACAGACAACACTGTAGAGGTCGTAGATGAAGACGACCCAATGGCACTTGTTTCTCCGCAGATGACAACAGGCCTAGTTTCTGCTGAGGCTATTCCCTTCTCTAGAAGATGTTGTCCAGCTTTCCATATCTTTTCTACTCGATCGTGAGGGGGACGGCAAATTCCCTTGCTGAGATCGTATTCTACTCCCACATAAGTGAACTTCTGAGTTGGTTGTAGTTCCGACTTCTTGAAGTTTATGAGGAAACCCAGAGCCTGAGCCAGTTCCAGCACCATCTGAGTATGTTGTAGAACTACTGTAGGTGAATTGCCTCGAATCAGCCAATCGTCGAGGTAATAATGAAACAGTATGCCTCTGGAGTGAAGATGAGCTGCTAGAGGCCGTAACAGATGTGTCCAAATCATCGGGGCTGATGCCAGACCAAAGGGCAGGGCTTTGAATTGAAGTACTTGGTCCTGAACAACAAAGCGCAGGTATTTCCTGAATGACTGCTTGATTGGGAGATGAAAGTAAGCATCTACGCAGTCTATGGACGTCACCCACTGTTGAGGCTGTACTGCATCCATGATCTGTGCTACTGTTTCCATCTTGAACTTTGGAACTTCTAGATGAAGGTTCAGATGATGCAAGTTGATGACTGGTCTTAGAGAGCCGGATTTTTTTGGGACGAAGAAAAGATGACTGTAAAGGCCTGGACTGGATACGTTCTGGACAACTTCTATGGCCTGTTTCTCCAGAAGTTGAGTGACTGTAGCTGCATAAAGGTCTTTTCTGTCTCTTGTTGATGACTGGAAAGGCCAAGGATTGCATGTAAGGGTAGGTTTTGTGTGAAGTTTCGGCTGGTAACCTTCCTTTATGATCTGTAGAAATCCTCCTAGATCTGTGATTTCTTTCCATTTGGCAAGAAAATGCTGTAGTCTGCCTCCCACTGGTAGCTGTTGAGGGCTTACAGGTAGCTGTGGGAGACAAAGACTTGGAGGACTGGATGATATAGGTAGATAGTCACTGTGATTTTTTCTCTCCTCTTCCCTTGCCACGAAAAGAGTTAGAGCTGTTCTTTTTACCAGGGCCATTGTTGTTATTGAAACTGGACTTTCTGTTGTTGTTGTTGTTGTCTTTCTTATTTGGTTGAGAAGACTTCTTTGATTCAGCTCTTGCATTCATCTTAGCCAAGGAAGTTAAAGCCTGGTTGGTGAGATCAGACTGGTTGGACTTCAAAATTTCAGTGACTGACTCCTGTGGGAATAATTCCTGAGCCAAAGGGTTTATGGGTAGAGTTCTGAGCATTTCCTTTGCTGCAGAAGGGCAAGTCATGTTCTTCAAGAAGCCATCTCTCCTAAGTAGAACTACGTTGGACAGCAGTCTCACATTTTGATCAGTCAGACAGCCAATGGCTTGTGCTGCAGGTTGTAGTAGATCAGACAACATCTTAGTATCAGTGGATGAAGAATCGTTGAGAATTTTGGCCACTGCACCTAACAGCCATTCTGCATATGCCAGAGGTTTCAGTTGGAATCTTAAGCCTTCCTCTAGAAGCCTATACTGGGTCTTGCTGATAGTCAAATCCTTGTCAGCTTTCTTGAAATTTTCTTCAGACATCACCGCTGACAGGCTGGAATTTGGCCTCATACTCGAAACAACAAGTCCTCCGGCTGGAGGAATTGGAAAGCGTGATGCCTTGTCGTTTCGGGAAAGTTGTCCTACTTTTTTGAAGGCGAAATCGTTCGCGATGATCGAGGATCTGTTAGAAAAACAAGTCATCACCGTGGGTGATAATGGTAAGAAAGATTTTTCATTACCTTCAGACTCGTTTTTGAAGAACTGCGATGCCAAGGGCTTGATAACCACCGCTCTGTCTGGAACTTGGTGCGTCAGGTTAGCGTCTGGTAACAGGTTTTTGACTTGTGATATCGCCGCCGCGTTGTACGAAGCCAAAACTTTCTCTTCTTCCGAAATCCTGGAGCCGCCATCTTGAAAATTTTCACTGGGCGAGTCCATATCCTCGGGCCCCTCGTGACGTTCGAGACTGTGATTGGTTGAACTTTCTTTCGAAAGTGAAACTGGAGCAATCACTTCCGGGTTAGGTGACCTCGTTCGAACTGGACTTCTGCTTCTAGAGCGGGACTTTGGTCTCCTATGGGGACTTCTGTGCTTGTCTCTGCTGCTACGAAGTGACGGGTCACGTGGTCTAGGCGTGTAACTAGAAGAGACACTAGTTTCACGACTGTAAGACCTACTACGCCTGCGTGGACTGTGTTCACCATGACGGTCATGATGACCTCTTCTCTCCGGCGTATAACGTCTGGGTTCTGGTCTCCTAGGGCTCCAAACTCTGTCCCGACTGCTCGAATGTCTCCCACGTCTCCTGGGGCTGCCACGTCTCGAAGGACTTGCACGTCTCCTGGGACTTGCGTGGCTTCTGGGGTCCTGAAATCTCCATGGGCTAGGGCTCCTGCGGGGACTCCTGCAACTTTTGCGGGGACTTCTGACAAATTCACTCCTTGCCGCTGAGCTTGGTCTGTCCGACCTTGCCTCCTGTTGAAGCCTCCGAGGACTGCTGTGCCTGGTGTTCACACTGTTCCTTGGGCTTTCTTGTTGCTTGTTTTGAAGCATTTCGTTCATCAGAACAGAAATCTTCTCCTTGAGAAAGTTGTCAGTCAGACTCATGTTGAAGTTCTGGTCTGCACTCTCTTGAATCCCTGCTTGCTCTGTGTCTCTATCAGTGCATTCTCCTTCTTCTTGCTGGAGAATGATAGCAGGACATTTCTCTGAGGTGTTCATGTAAACGTCCTCGTTGTTCATCATCTTGACGAATATAGTTGCTCCAAGTTCTGTTGAAGGCTTGTAGCGAGATGGTCGTCGAAAGGTAATATGAAGTAGGTCGTAGCATGAAGCATGGATAGGCAGTGTATTGGACGAGTTCATTCACTAATCCGTTCATTCAATAGGGGTGTTAGACCTTTCGACTAGTCAATTTATTAAGGTAATGACATATAATTAAGAGGGAAGTAAGTGATATAAACGTAGATATTAAAAAAAGCACATGGCAGCCATTTTTCGGCCTTTACTCGTTATTTTACGATTTTTGCTGTAACTCGAAAAGTAGTGGAGCGATTTTGTTCATATTTGGTATGTGAATACTATAAGCATGGCACACTGTCCTATGACACTTTTGGTAGAAGGCGGCCATTTTGAAAAAAAATTTGGCCGCCATTTTAACATATTTTACTATAACTCGAAAAGTAGTGGAGCGATTTTGTTCATATTTGGTATGTGAATACTATAAGTATGGCACACTGTCCTATGACACTTTTGGTAGAAGGCGGCCATTTTTCAAAATGGCCGCCATTTTAACGTATTTTACTATAACTCGAAAAGTAGGGAAGCAATTTTGTTCATATTTGGTATGTGAATACTATAAGCATGGCACACTGTCCTATGACACTTTTGGTAGAAGGCAGCCATTTTGAAAAATGGCCGCCATTTTAACGTATTTTACAATAACTCGAAAAGTAGTGAAGCAATTTTGTTCATATTTGGTATGTGAATACTATAAGCATGTCACATTGTCTAATGACACTTTTGGTAGAAGGTGGCCATTTTGAAAAATGGCTGCCATTTTAACGTATTTTACTATAACTCGAAAAGTAGTTCAGCGATTTTGTTCATATTTGGTATGTTTCATATTTTATATGTGAATACTATAAGCATGGCACATTGTCTAATGACACTTTGGGTAGTAGGTGGCCATTTTGAAAAATGACCACCATTTTTACGTTTTTACTATAACTTGAAAAGTAGTGAAGCGATTTTGTTCATATTTGATATGTGAATACTCACGAGCCTTGCACACTGTCTCATGACACTTGGATAGTAGGCGGCCATTTTAAAAAATGGCTGTCATTTTTACATTTTTTACTTATTTCACAAGTAAATGTGTGTGATTTTTCAAAAATTTTATAGGTGGCTACTAAAAGCATATTATTTCTTCTGATGACAACTTGGCTAACCATTTTGAAAATGGTGGCCTTTCTGGTATGTTGTTTTATGATATTTGCTATATATTTCGTTTGTAAAATGCCAGCCATTTCTGTTCGATTGGATTCGCTACGCTTTGGCGTTGCCGTTGTTCTGGTTACAGAGTATATGACTCCATTCACTCCATACACCCCAGAATACAATACACTTCACATGTAATTGACTTGATATTAATTACAGAGTATATGACTCCATTCACTCCACACACTCCAGAATACAATACACTTCACATGTAATTGACTTGATATTAATTACAGAGTATATGACTCCATTCACTCCACACACTCCAGAATACAATACACTTCACATGTAATTGACTTGATATTAATTACAGAGTATATGACTCCATTCACACCATACACCCCAGAATACTTAACACTTCACATGTAATTGACTTGATATTAATTATAGAGTATACGACTCCATTCATTCCATACACCACAGAATACTATACACTTCACATGTAATTGACTTGATATTAATTACAGAGTATATGACTCCATTCACTCCGTACACCCCAGAATACCATACACTTCACATGTAATTAACTTGATATTAATTACAGAGTATATGACTCCATTCACTCCATACACCCCAGAATACAATACACTTCACTTGTAATTGACTTGATATTAATTACAGAGTATATGACTCCATTCACACCATACACCCCAGAATACTTAACACTTCACATGTAATTGACTTGATATTAATTATAGAGTATACGACTCCATTCATTCCATACACCACAGAATACTATACACTTCACATGTAATTGACTTGATATTAATTACAGAGTATATGACTCCATTCACACCATACACCCCACAATACTTAACACTTCACATGTAATTGACTTGATATTAATTACAGAGTATATGACTCCATTCACTCCGTACACCCCAGAATACTATACACTTCACATGTAATTGACTTGATATTAATTACAGAGTATATGACTCCATTCACTCCGTACACCCCAGAATACTATACACTTCACATGTAATTGACTTGATATTAATTACAGAGTATATGACTCCATTCACTCCTTACACCCCTGGAAACAGGCCAGCTATGAGGAATAACCTGCAACAGATGACACATGTAACTCCCCAGTCTGATCAGACATATTGTGAGCAATCTGTCAAGGTATAACTCAACAAATAAGATCCTTCCTTGCATAAGGCAAAAATAATACTATATAACAAATTGATAGGGACAGAGGCCACCAACAGCAATTTGATGTTAGAAAATTATTTTGAAATTATAGTGATAATCTTAGTGGAAAGAATTGGACTTTAGGCTTAATAGGCTTTACAGGCTTAATAGCTATTAATTGTGTCCACTCCATCTCTAGTAGCAAAGTGCAGGTGTCTCATATTGACATGGAAAATAACTGAGTGAAAATATAAAACCCAACTTGTTCATTTTCTAAAACACTACTCTCTTATGGAAATTCAATGTTTTCTTTTTCTTTCCAGCAAGTTGAGGTATTAGGTGAGTCTGGTTACAGTACAGAACTAAAGGTGGCGTCATCTTCCACCAATGGAGGTCAGCATGACATTCTCCATACACGCACTGACCTTGAGAATGGGAAGACAGAGATTATATATGAGGAAACTGTTCATGCTCCTGTTGTAAAGACCAAAATGATTGTGGAGCAACCTTCCAGTTCAGAGACTGAATCAGAGTAGACACCATAGATATTGGTTTGACTTTGAATAAAAGCTGAATCTGAGAGCAGCTTATGAATAGAGGCTGATTCTGAAAAGACTAAGACAGAATCTGAGAGCAGCTTATGAATAGAGGCTGATTCTGAGAAGACTTAATGAATTAAGACAGAATCTGAGAGCAGCTTATGAATACAGACTGATTGTGTGTACAACCCTTGAATAGAGTTTATCTGCCTACAACCCTTGAGAAGTGACTGAATCTTAACAGAATCTGCAAGGCATGAGTTAAATCTGCTTATGAGCACCAGCCATAAATAGAGACTGAATCTAGCTACAACTCTTTTATGTACAAGTTTTACATGTAGGTTCAGTTTCATGTTAATGTCTGCAATTCCAGAGTCATATTACATTGTAAATACATTAAATTTTTGTGTATAAATTTATTGAAGAAAATCTATAGCTTGGATGCTTTATTGTTATTTAGATTTTTCACACACCCAAATTATTTGTGTGCAAAAGAAATGGATTTTGAATATCCTAAATGAATATCTTCAAAACTATTAGGCCTATTTATAATGATACTGTTTTAAATGTAGCACATTAGGCTAATAAAGCGTGTTAAACTTAACATAATTCTCTTGTCTTCTTCAATGTTCTATAAAAATCAGTCTGACCCTCAAATATGAAATCATTGTTGACTTATTTGAGTACATGTATAAATGATTGCCTTGAATTATTAAAAGATTTAATGAAACAATTTTCATCTTACCTTTTTGAGTTTGATAATTATGCCATTTAAACATAGGCATTCAATAGAGATGAAAGCCCATGATTTAAATATATGAAAAAACAGCAAAAGAAATAAGATATGTTATAATTATCAAGTTTATTACAATTAAATCATAATGTACAGAGAGAGAATGTCGAAGCTTTATGTCTTAGTTACATTTGCCCTATGACCAGAATATGGCAACTGTGGCTCTCCAAACTGAGAAATTCCTGATGCCACAGAGCTTCCTGATATTGAGGTATTATTTACATATGATTTTTTGTGTAAAGGAAAACAACAGTATGTGAAAAAGGGCAGATTTATTTGAAAGCATATCTATCAAAACAAGATTTTTCTGGCCTAGCATGTTCAATTGCAATATCACTTAGGCCTATAAAATAGCATTATCTAGGATAAAGAAATATTAAAATTGACTACTACTGCCATTGTCGCTTTCCCTGGGTCTAGAGACCGCAAGGTGAGGTAGGAACAATCGAAACCTTGTGAATCAAGATGAACCACTGTTTGGTTATCAAAATCAATGATAATGGTAATTGTATACCACATGAAAGTGTCTGTTGATCTATAGTATAATCATTTGACCTTGGTATCTCATTGATAAATTCATGCCTAAGCCAATACATGTAAATGAACAAAATTATTGTTTGATATATTGGTGCTTAATATGTATAATGTTGACTTTGATGCCTCGTTATTATTAACATAATAAGTGTCACAGTGTATTATCGATGATGCATATTAAATATCAATTATTTATTCAGAACATTGCCAGATTTATACCATCAAACACATATATAAGATATTAAATTAATGTTAATTAATGCAATTAATAAAATAGATACCCGTATTTTTCAAAAAATTTCTAAATATTTTGTTCAAATTATATTGATATGACAATCCTTTCATGAAAGGAGTCTTTAAAAGTCATATGCCGTTATTAACTTCACATGTCTCTACCATTTGAGCAAAATACTCGTGCATCACGCCCCGTATCCCCAACTACCATTTCAAATTTATCCAGGATTCTATAATGGCTTCGATCATTAAATTTGTAATCTTCAACCCTGATACATTGTTTTGAGATAATGTGTTGATTGTTTACTGTATTACTGTATTACTGTATACTCAAAATTCATAAGTCTTATCATTTTAATATAGTTCACATCCAGGTCTAAAAATTTTAGAATCTAGAAGTTTTAGATCATGTCTAATGGTAGCACTTTGACATCACATAATGTCCAGGTGTATGATTTTGGGAGATTGAAAAATGCAAGAATTTTAGATCATGTCTAATGGTAGCACTTTGACATCACATAATGTCCAGGTGTATGATTTTGGGAGATTGAAAAATGCAAGACCACTGTAGCCACATGGATTGCATCCACAGATGTACGTACAGCTGTTTCTGTTGTCAGGAAGGGCATCTGTAGTAATAAGCTGGCATTTTTCAAACCTTCCTGTGTGAAGATTTGTACTAACTTGGGCATCCATATCTACGGAGTACACATAATGGTATTGGCTTTCACATTTTAATCGGCCTGTCATCACAACATAGAACTCTGTATCAGACCCAAAATCCAAGTTCAAATCAGTTGAGAATTTCAGATATCCGGGGGCTTCAGCTGTATTTGGAATGTTCATGCAAGTGTTGTTGTTGAGATCGTAGTCAATGATTTGGCTGAGCATCATGGGTGGAAAGGTGTTATCAAAACTTTCATTCAAGTTAATGTGGTTGCTATAGTCGCAGCCAAGATAGCCAGCTCTGAATTCAATTTCAACGTTCCATGTTAGTGGGACAATACGTACATATTTTGCAAGGAATCTTTCACTGAACTTGTGAAAGAATTTTGTGTTTACATCACCATTCACTGATACACCTAAAATGAAAAGAATAAATAGTACTAATAGCAAGTATATATATAACTTGTTAATATAACCAAAAAGTGTGGTTTATCCAAACAAACCATTTATAGCATTACAATCAATGATGTCGAGGCATGTTTGGGTAAAATGTCCTATTGAATCTAAGCACACTTTACCATTTATATTTCAAAATGATCAAATGACATTTGAATACATTAAAATATTATTATCCCACTGAACGTAATTCGAGGGGGAATAGAGAAGATGTCCATTCGTCCGGCTGTGAATGAAACTACATTCCTGGACATCCAAATGAAAAAAAGTAAACAAGAAAATTAGGACAGGAATGGTAAAGTGTCATTCCCTGATTTATCTGTTATTACACATTTCACAAATCAAAAGGATATCAAGAGTATACAGCCACATAGAAGATGCTACACAAAGAATACTCAGTCTACATAAAAATGGATAAAGACAGATGGAGAATAAAAATTGCCATGTGACTAATGTAGAATATAAAACCATTCTCCTGAAGCAAAGCTCTTCTAAGCCCGGAGGCCATGTTCCCAGGGAAGAAGGTGTTTGATATGGCACATAAGTGAGGTATTCCACATGGCTAAGGATAAAATAAATATCAAATAATAGAAGAACAAAGAGTAAAAGAATAAAGATATTCTCAAGCTAACAATACAAGCAGCAACCTTATGTTGTCTGTCTGTCTGGGCAATAACTCAAATACCTGTCGACGGATTTGATTCTTTTATAGGGTTATATGCCTAATGGGAGTAGGACCTCTGCTTGAGAAGGAATTTCCAATATGACCGCTCAATTCAAAATGGCCACCATTTTTGTAAAAATACTTTTAAACTGATTTGCTTCAAATTGTATATGCTTTGGACAATTTTGATATTTAAATGTCCTCTTTTGAATATAATCCATGACTTAATTTGGGTGTTATTTCTAAACTTTTCATAAAAAAAATTATTAGCACAGTAGACTGATGAACCTTGTTCTCCAACACGAGACTTGTCTTTTATTGAATCCACCTGCTTCGGACAATTTTAATATTTTTACATATTGTAGAATTAGAAACTTGTCTTTTCATTATACATGTTGATGCCTAGATGATTTGGTTCTTTTATATCCATGGATAAAGGAGCTCTATTAAAGAAGAAATTTTCAAGATGGCAGCTGAATTTCCAAATGGCCACCATTTTTTGGAAAAACATAGTCTCTGATAACTCAAATACCAGTTGATGGATTTGGTTATATGCTGATACGCTCTGTTCAAAAGTTTTCAAGATGGCCACTAATTTTCAAAATATATTTTGTTCTTTGGGATTTGCTACTCCATGGAGTTGCTGTTTTTCTCGTTATTTATTTATTTAGTAAAATAAAAATATTTTGATTAACTCATATTTTGTCAACATAACTTCAATCTTTTAATTAAGAAGAGATTTAATTGACTTCCTCTTTTGCCATCTCTTTTTGAATAATTTTATACACAACAAAGTCAAGTATGAGAAAAAATTGTGGGGTACTATGTACTTAGTACTATCTACTACCAAATTCTACAAATGGAGCATCATATATTTGATTTTATGATTGATTGCAGGGCTGTCATTACCTGTTTGTCTGTAGTCAATGAGTGATGAAGAGCAATGGGAATCTGAACCACACCAGTTAAGAGTGGAGCAACAATATGCTGTCAAGACATCACATTCCTTATTGTTGTAGGGTGGTCCGCATCTGTCATCTCCAGTTATCTTCTCAGGATCTTGATCTGTTAAATCAAAACAGTGCATAATCATCAATGTATTTTAACAATTTTAGCAATATGACAAAAATCCTGCATTGTAGTTTTATTATTATTTGAATTTCTAGAAGATATATTTTACTTTGCCTTTTCATCATAATGTGAACTTTTGATGTGAACGTCTAGTAGCCCATGATGCCTGTTATTGATGAGTCAATATTAAAAAAATATATTTAAAACCCATGATATGATATTTTTGGTTTTGATGCTTAAAGCTCTTCCATGCTTTAACAGTTACCGGGAAAAATGAGGAATTTCTGAAAATAATTCAGGTAGGCTACGTGAAATTCTCCCTTGGATTCTCCTTCTTGGGATCTGTTTTGTTTGTTTGGCATGCTCCAATCAGATAATTTTTTCCGTTTTTTGGATAAATGGTCAATTTATGTTATCAGTTACAATATACAAACTCCCATATCTCAACCAATGACTTAATTTACAAAGAAGCGGGGTTAGATGGTTCCTCTTCTCTCTAAGTCAGATCATTACCAAGATAAGACATTTTAGGTGTGACAATTCTTGTGTAAAATTAATATTTTTCTTAGCAGAAGAAAAAAAGAAAATTTAACCTAGTATATAATACCTGAAAATCGACCTCGTTCAATCCAGTTTACACCATCCATGCTGGATAAAACTTTGTATGTTGTAATCCTTGCACTTCTTCTATTGGCTCCTTGTATTATGACCTCTGTTACAACATTGATCTTTGGAAACTCAGCCTTAAACAAAGTAATGAGAAAATGCACAAGAATTGCAATATCATTTTGTTCTTTTCCATTAAAATTGAAGATTACTAGTAGTATATGTATTAGTAACTAACTCAGTCAATAACTACTAGTAATGTTATATTTTGGCTACTGTCATCATTTTTGGTGAGCAATACCAAATTATTTTACATACAGGGTGGTCAAAAATGGCAACCCTGTATTTTCTTCATACCTTTGTCATTTTAGGAAATTCCTCCCTGATATTTTACATACTTGTACATCTCGATTTCCTACCAGCCTACTATATTTCATGACCATCAAATTGATAATCACAGAACTTAGATAGTTACAGCACCTTTTTTCTCCTTTTTTAGGTATGAGGCCTGAGGCAATTTTGTACACTATATTTTGGCAGAAGTCAGGTATGGACACATTTGGCAACGGGTGCAGGTTTGCCCACAGCGCAATATTGGCCTCTGGAGCATGTTGTTTAAAGTGCTGACATAACATTGTAACTATCAATCTGATGGTCATGGAATATTGTAGGCTGGTAGGAGGTTGAATGACGTCTAGTTGTATTTTTTCCATTATTACTTATAATATACTCCTTGAAATAAAAATATGTAGCACCTCTGGTTATGAATGATAACCATTAGTTTATAAAAACTTGATGTTTTTCATACACAATTTAAAATATTAATCTTGGAAAAGATATAAAAATATTTTTTTCTGGTATTTACATTCCAGTGAGAAGTCTAAAATATTATTATCATTTTGTAACTTACCTGGAGCCATTGATCCTGATTATCGGGTCCAGCAGACAATCCCCCATACCGATATATCTCCTGGCCATCAGTTGTTAATGTATCAATCTTTGACTGTCCTGCACCATACACAATCGAATTACCTGCATGGACACTTGAAACAGTTAGGATGACATCAGGGTCAGCTTTGATCAATGACTGGGAGCAGCTCCCTGATGGTAGACACCCAATCAGCTCCACTCTCATTGCAATCGCACCATTCCATGCTATGATTTCAAGACGGTAGATTTTGGCGATAGCTGTTGGTACAAGCAGATGTGTAACTTTGTCCTCTGCATTGGTGTTTGCATCATATGGGCCAACATTCACCCACTCATCACTTGAGGTTGGTTTGTGCTTTACATTATATTGAGTAACCCAATATGTAGAACCCTCGCCTCCCTGCGTTATAACCTTATCCACAGTTGTAAGTTCACGAAAGGAGACCTCCCAATATTCAGTTGCATCATTTGTAGCAGGCATCCAACCTCCAAATTTCTCAACTGTCCCCAAGGTAGTTTGAAGTACTGTGGTGGCATCAATATATGCATGTTGTGGTCCATAATACAAGTCACTTGTCTTTATGGACGAAGGAGAGAATTCAATTGTTGGATTATCTTTTGTCATTGCAGTTTCACATGCTTCGGGATCTGGGTGATATGTCATATGATTTACTTCTGGTGTCATCTCAGAAATTGTACATACATGGCTTTTCCTGAAACAACGATTTGTCGCTGTGTAATAAGTGAATAAAACACAAGATGGATGTGCTTTACATTGTTCAGCACACTTCTCTACTGATATACCGGATATACTATCAATGTCCATTCCAGGACAGTTGCCATTACGTTTCACCCATCCGTCTATCTCTGATGTCAACACTTCCCCTGTTATTGTTCCTCTACAGACCCTCATCAGCATAAGCAACAGCAGGGGCAACACGTGGAACATGTGTTCACCTTCCATTCTCTCAGTTCATTTTGAAACTTGCATATAGACAAAAATACTTTATTGACTACAAGCTTGTGGATGCTCGTTCCTAATTGGTTGATAAAGGAAAGGTGGGTACATATTATAGCCTCATTTAAAGGCCCCATCTAAAGTTTAAACCACTTTGGCTTATATTGTAGTCTTACCCAATGTTATCAAAGTGTGATATGTGACACTTTTTTTTTTAATTTCAAAAAGTGGTTTTTGATAGACTTTTTGTTCCAAAATTTGTGAATTTATTTAAAACCAACTTTTAGAGGTCACTCATATCTTCTAATTAGCCACAATTCATACCAATGCATAGCATTCATCCTCCCATGTTTTTTGCCGAAAAAATTCAGAAAATCGGTTCATAAATAAGCGAGAAATGAACTTATCAGTGCATGAAAATGGTTCTGAGAAAAATGCATTTCAAAATTTAAGTTCTCATAGAAACCAATGGTACAATGATATCTAAAACATAATTTATTCTTCCTTTTAACCTGGTTAGACAATCAACATTGGTTTTTTATGAAAGTTTAACATATTTAGAAAAGATGGACATCGAAAAAAAAATTCAATTTTTTTCAAAACGTTTTTGGTACCTTAGTGACATCACTAATGTTTCAAAATATTTTTGATATGTTAAAACATTGAAGTGGCCCATTAAATATGGCATTTTATTATTGAAATAGTGTGTCCTTTGTTCAACCTTTGCATTGGCGTTAAAAATATAATCTTTTTTGAAATGCATTAAGAAATATTTGATGATTAAGAAATTTCAATATTGAATATTGAAAATTTGAATATTTGAGAAATGAAATGCTCACAACTTTTTTTTCAAAATTTTTTTTTGTTCAAAAATCTCTAAAATCACTTTTTAAGTCCTGACAAATAGTAAATGAATGATAAAAAAATATTTTCAAACTTTAGACGGGGACTTTAAGAATTTCCGATACATATGCACACGACACAGTGTGATCCTCCCGCTATGAAAAAATATATCAAAATGTATAAGATTATATTAAAAGGGCAGTTTCAGTACTTTTGATCCGAAAAAAATGTTTTTGATTCATAATAATTTATTAATACAGTAATACTATATGCACAAAAAGGTTGTCTGCATATAAGTTGTCTGCAACCAATATTTGGTTTGTAATATTCATTCAACTTTAGCACAGTATCATTATTTGTTGATGACGTAAGATGATTTGATAAAAAAGATACAATATACAGGTAAGGCTTTCAAGTTAAAGATAAAAATAATGATATTGATTTGCTTTGCATTGTATTGGAAAACGTCAAATTATTGACTATTTCATATATCTAAAAGTAGGCTAAAGCCGGGTTCTCTCAATCAACATATTTTTAACACAATGTTTAAAACGTTTTCCATGCATGCTTCACATAATGTTAAGTGTTCATGGCCTTACTTTTCAAATGAAAATAACATTTTAATTTAGGACACCGATTGGTATCGGGGATATCTTAAAATATATAATGAAAGAGGCAAAAGCAGTTTTCTAAACACAATTGCAAACATATCTTCCCTTGTTCTGTACACTCCTTAAAAACAAATAGTTTTCAAGAAAACAACCTTAAAATGGATTTCGACTTTTATGGTAAAAAAACTGAAAATCAAGGCAAGATCAGGGTGCTTTGGTCTGAAATCAGACAACAAGCGTTGGGGCCAATGGAATGGTTTTTGCAATTTATGTGACATATTTGTCAATTGAAATATATTTATGTTTGTCTGTCCTCTAGTATAGTAGGAACAAGGGGTTCCCATGCACCCATAAGGTGTGAATAAGTTACATACATTTTTGTAATCCCTAGGGTGTCTATTTAATGAATTCATTTGTTAACATTGCCAACTAATGTCCCATAGTACTTTTATGGCGGCATTCAGTTACCATGGTTACGCATCTTTAGACATCTTACCTTGGTATCTTAAATCATTTGTAGCTCTGTCATTATTTGGTCTATAGAAATCATATTGGTACCAAATTGAACCTCGTTAAATTTCCAATAAATTTATGATATTCAATTATGCAAATTATCTAATTTGCATAAATTATGACGTCATCAATCTATTTTTGGTTCAGAATTTCCAACTATAGCAACGTATCTATTAGAACTGAGGCCGTATGGCAAAATTTCTGAAAGGTTTTGTTTATTCTATTAGTAGAAGGTATAAGCAACATAAAAGTGAAAACAGATTCAAAATTGAATCAGTATTACGAAAGTTATGTAACTTTCGAGGCAGCTATCGTGAATGTCATTATTTGACAATAATACACATACGTCTTACCTTTGAGTCTTGAATCAATGTATCTTCGCCATTATTTGGTCTATAGAGGTGATATTGGTATCTGATTAAACCTTATTAAATTTACTATATGGTTACAATATTCAGTTATGCAAATTAGCTAATTTGCATTAATTGTGACGTCATCAATCCATTTTTGGTTCAGAATATCCTAGTATAGCAACATATCTATTAGAACTGAGGCCGTATGACAGAATGTGTGCATAGTTTTGTCCCTTATTTGATGAGTGGAAGATATAAGCAACATTAAAGAGACAACAAATCTTCAAAATTGGATCAGAATTAACAAAATTATCCAGCTTTGGAGGCAGCTACTGTGAACGTCATTGTTTGACAACTATAAAAAGAATATTAAATTAACAAAAAAGTAACAACCATAGTTGTTTCAATCTTATTGAGTAAAAATGTGCATGTATTGAACTGAACTAATAAGTATGTGGAAAGGTTACATGTATTTTGACTATCATTCACAGGGGTCAAAACGGTTATCTCGACCCTGTATATTAAAGATCCAATTTTATAATTTACCATGCACTTTCAATGATTCATATAAATAGTATACATATAGTCTGATTTTCATCATATTCATCATATTCTTCATATTCTTGATTCTTAAAGCATCTGAAGTATAAAGCATGATTAGAAGTGAAGATGATTCATCATATGGTTTATGTAATATTTCTAACATTTCAGATGCTATGGTAACATCACTTGATAATGAGGTTTCACATTCTTAATGAGTTAACAGAAAGTTATTCTCCCTTTGCTTTAGAGATAAATAGTCACATGAATTTGTTTAAAAAAATTATAACTTAATTTAACCCCCTCCTGACAGCCCCCATATTTGAAGATTTTGGTGAAACCTGGCAAAATACATTAATTATTAGGTTCCAGAAGCCCCCAGAAGCTATATGATGGCCCCCAGTGGCCCCAAGAATCTATACAGGTTCCCAAAGTGGCCCCCAGAAGGTATACGATGGCTCCCAGAAGCTATACAAGGGCCCACAGAAACTATACTGTGGTCTCCGGAAGCTATATGGTGACCCCCAGTGGCCCTCAGAAGCTATATGATGGCCCGCAGAAGCTAATTAGTGGCCCCCAGGAGCTATACAGTGGCACCCAGAAGCTATACAGGGGACCCCAGTGGCCCCAAGAAGCTATACGATGGCCCCCAGAAGCTATACAGCAGCCCCCAGAAGCTACACGATGGCCCCCAGAATCTATATGATGGCCCCCAATGGCTCCCAGAAGCTAAACAGGGTCCCCAGTAGCCCCTAGAAGCTATACGGTGGCCCCCAAAGCTATATGGTGGCCCATTGGGGGACACTGTATAGCTTCTGGAGGCCATCATATAGCTTATGGGGGCTACCGTATAGTTTCTGCCGGCCCTTGCATAGCTTCTGGGGGCCATCGTATAGCTTCTGGGGGCCCCTGTATAGCTTCTGGGGGCTACAGTACAGTTTCTGCAGGCCCTTGCATAGCTTCTGGGGGCCATCGTATAGCTTCTGGGAGCCACTGTGGGCCCCTTTATAGCTTCTGGGGGCCACTATATAGCTTTCGGGGCCACTGGGGGCCACCATATAGCTTCTAGGGGCTACTAGGGGGCCCTTTATAGCTTCTGGGAGCCATTGGGGGCCACCATATAGATTCTGGGGGCCATTGTGTAGCTTCTGGGAACCACCATATAGCTCCTGGGGTCACTATTTAGCTTCTGGGGGCCATCATATAGCCTATGAGGGCCACCGTATAGCTTCTAGGGGCTACTGGGGGCCCTTCACATCTTCTGGGAGCCATTTGGGGCCATCATATAGATTCTGGGAGCCATCATGTAGCTTTTTGGGGCTCCTGTATAGCTTCTGGGGGCCATCGTTTAGCTTCTTGGTGCCACTGGGGTCCCCTGTATAGCTTCTGGGAGCCACCGTATAGCTCCTAGGGCCACTAATTAGCTTCTGGAGGCCATCATATAGCTTCCCAGGGCCACTGGGGGCCACCATATAGCTTCTGGAGACAATAGTATAGTTTCTGGGGGCCCTTGTATAGCTTCTGGGGGCCATCGTATAGCTTCTGGGGGCCCCCGTATAGCTTCTGGGGGCCACCGTATAGCTTTTTGGGGCCACTGGGGGCCCCTGTATAGCTTCTGGGCGCCACCATATAGCTCCTGGGGGCCACAGGGTTTCCTGTATAGCTTCTGGGAGCCACCGTATAGCTCCTGGGGGCCACTATTCAGCTTCTGGGGGCCAACATATAGCTTCTGGGGAGCACAGTATAGCTTCTGGGGGCCACTTGGGGCCCCTGTATAGATTCTTGGTGCCACTGGGGACCATCATATAGCTTCTGGGGGCTTCTGGAACCTAATAATTAATGTATTTTGCCAGGTTTCACCAACATCTTCAAATATGGGGCTGTCAGGGGGGGTTAGATTAATTAAGTTATAATTTTTCTAAACAAATTCATGCGACTATTTATCTCTGAAGCAAAGGGAGAATAACTTCCTTTTAACTCATTAAGAACGTGAAATGTAAAAACCTCATTATCAAGTGATGTTACCATAGCATCTGAAATGTTAGAAATAAACCATATGATGAATCATCTTCACTTCTAATCATGCTATATACTTCAGATGCTTTAAGAATCAAGAATATGAAGAATATGATGAAAAGTAGACTAT